CAAGCAGGATTTGCTATCTCTGGTTCATGTCTCCTCCTGTAAAATGGCTTATGCAATGGAGAGAGGCTCCATTGGGAATTTGCTCAAGGCTTTTCTTGGGATCTGGGAATGCTAAACAAGTTCTTTCAGCATTAAGAGCAAGGCACTTATGAAATTGAAGGATTTTTCTACATGAGGCTGTTAATCCATTGCGTTTACTTTTGGTTTTATTGGAGAACTGAGATCCAACCACTCCATGAGGAGCATTTCTTTTTCTACTTTCCCACTACATAACCTCTAAGTGATATGGTGGAATAGCGCAAATCCATGAGGCAAACCACCCTTTTTTGCCATCAAATATACTATCCCATTTTTCCTGCCTCAAATGAAAAACCTTGTGGAAAGTATTGCATACACCGAAGCAAAAAAAGAGGGCCCTGGCATCATCTATAGAGCCTATAAAGAACAGTGAGCAAGGAATAATGAGCACACAAGTCGCATGTAGAACAGCTCCAAAGGTTCATGGATTTATAACTGACCTCTAATTCTAATAAAAGAGAACTGCAGCAGTGCAGAAACTCAGCCTGAAAGCCCAGTCCAGATTCCCAAGGGGCCACACCTGATCCCCATTCTAAGAGGCTGAAATGCCTCTCCTAAAAGTTAATTACTGCTAGTAAGAGGTTTAAGCAAGAGAGAGGGAGAAGAGAGAGATGGTATTTTGGACTCTGTTGCTTCTGCCTCACCCACCACAGAAACATGCCCCCCCCCCAACTTCTCCAAAAGGAAATTCAGCCCTTGGACTGGAAAAGGTTCAACATGCCAGACTATAGTGTGCTGTTTTGGCTCCAGCACTAGCAAAACTTCATCTAATGTTAACTTGTCCTAGTCAGCTCTGTTAGCTGCATATTTCAGCAGTATAGCAAAGCACATTGTCAGCAAGACATGTGCAATCCCTGTCCTGAGTTTTCCATGTTGCACATGAACGGGGCGCACTGGGGGACGGAGAGACGGGCGCGAACAGGGCCTGCTGGGGGAGGGAGAGATGGGTGCGAACGGGGCACGCTGGGGGACGGAGAGACGGGCACGATCTCGGCCATCTCCCCCCCACCCTCAGCAGGATCACAGACATCTCCCCGCCCCCCGAAGCATGACCAAGATCACACCTGTCATCCCTGCACACACCCGGCGTGCTGGGGGGGGGGGGAGAGATGGATGTGATCGTGCTGGTTGTGTGGGATATGGCTGAGATTGCACCCGTCTTCCCTGCATGAACGCAACTGCGATCGTGGCGATCTCCCCACTCGGGGGGGGGGGGGATCTTGGTCGCCTCCCAATGCAAAGTTCATGACCCACGTCAAAATTTTCATGAAATTTTTGTTCGCAACCCGATTTGGTCATGAACCAAGGCATTTGTGAGCCAAGGCACCACTGTATTTCTTTTGCCTCAGAGGGTTTGCACATTCTGGCAGAGTTGCTGAAACTTAAAAGCTTGAACCAAAATTCATTATGATACAGACTTAGGTTCAGATTCTGAGGCTGTTCCATTTTGATCAGATGCATGCTTCTGTATAGTTGTAAAAGTAGGATTGAAACTCTGTTTTCAAACCCTACGTTAGCCTTTGTTTATATTCTATTTATTCTGTATATCAAGGCATCTCACACAGAATGCAAAAACAAGTATATTAAAATCAAATATAACAATAAACCCAGACAGCTGCTCACAAATAGAAAATCCATGAAGTGACTCAGTGGTTTTGAAATAGGCAAGCCCCGATTAACAAAATGGTAACCGCAAATAGATGGATTTTAAAAACCTAATTGAATATTGGTGGAACTAAAGGCAGACCTATCTCAGTGGGAATCTAGAACCCCGGGGCTACCCCTGAAAAGGCCTTGTCTCTCATGCCCACCAAGTGAACCTATCATACAGAGTTGCTTACAAGCAGGACTTTTAAGGCAGATCTTAATGCTTGGGCAGTTTCGTATGGGGGGAAGGTTGGCCTTTAAATAAACGCATCTGCGACGCGATGCCTGTGTGCACAGTGCACTTGTAAGACGATAAGGCTGATTCCCAGTGCAAGTGAATGAAGTGAAAAAAGCAGTTCTGCCAGGAGTTGGCCAAAGGAATCCCACCCACCCTCTCAAAGACTCTCCAACCATTTCTTGGTATGGCAGCTTTCCCTTTACCTCCCTCATTCTAGGAAAGAATATTCTATTTCTCCGCATCCCTTATTCTATTTCTCCATTCACTTTTGTGTGGTGGCACGGGGTGAGTAATGGAAAACTTTCCTTCTGAAAAGGGCATGGAGGAGATCCAACTCCTGCAAAGTCTTTTGGGGCCAGGACAGAGGCTGGGTCCCTCCCATATACCCCCAGCAGTTCTTTCATAGGAAAACTTCCTGTCTTTTCATGCAGATGAAAAAGGTTCTTTAAAAAATAAAATATATGCCAAACTTGAACATTTTGGCAGACTGGAAAATATGTAGCCATGAATTCATCCCCCAAAATGCAGCCTCAGGGGTGTCCAAAGTAACCTATATGCAGCCTTGTTTTATCAGTATGTATGTATAGCACTTGCTATAGATTTATTGTTTATTTATTTATTTAAAACATTTCTATGCCGGTCCCATTGCAACAAAGCCTCAGGGCGGCTCACATCATCCATAAAATAAACATAAAAATACAATCAATAATTTAAAAATTGGTACCATCTTGGCTATATATTAAAATCTATAAATAATGACAAATTAACAGTTAAAATAACTTTTAAGTAAAAAGGTCTTCGCCTGGCACCGAAAAGCAAATAATGACGGTGCCAGGCGGACCTCACTGGGGAGCAGTGGCACCCCATAGGTAGGGTGCCACTGCAGAAAAGGCCCTCCTCTGGGTACTCACCCTCCTAATATCCTTCACGGAGAGTTCCCGGAGAAGAGCATCTGCTGCCTATCGTACGGGGTGGGCGGGTATATATGGATGCAGACGTTCCTTTAGATAACCAGGTCCCAAGCCGTTAAGGGCTTTATAGGTCATAACCAACACCTTGAATTGGGCCCGGACTTCAACAGGGAGCCAGTGAAGCTGACGGAGAACTGGGGTTATATGAGAACAACGCCCAGTCCCCGTCAGCAACCTGGCAGCTCTATTTTGCACCAATTGAAGTATCCGGACCGTCTTCAAGGGTAGCCCCACGTAGAGCACGTTACAGAAATCTAGTTGGACTTCGTATAAAGAAAATTTATATAAAATGTTCTATAGATGGTATTTGTCGCCAAGCCGAATAGCTAAGATGTTTCCAAATATGTCAAATAGATGTTGGAAATGCAAACATAATGTGGGTACTTTCTGTCACATGTGGTGGACTTGTGATAATGTGAAAAAGTATTGGATTAAAATACAGATGAATGGAGGAAATATTACAGAAACCCTGTGCTTTTAAACCTGAAGTTTTCTTGTTAGGGATTATACCGGAAGACGTCAACAGACAGGAAATGTACTTGATGTTGCACTTAATCACAGAGGTGAGGATTGCATTTGCTCAATATTGGAAAAATGAGGAGCTACCCACCGATGAACTGATTGTAAGAAAGATCTTGGACTGTGCAGAAATGGATGGATTGACTTTATCATTGAAGGAGAAAGAGGATATTGACTTCTATCAAACTTGGGACTCTTTCTATAATTGGCTGGAGAAACGGGACTTGGCATAATTTGATTTTAGAATGTTAAAAAAAATGTGCGTGTGTGTGTATATGTAGTAGGGGGTTGACCCAGTGAATCTGATGTATGTCATATTTGATGTTTTTATTAGCGTTAGTTTAAAACTTTTAATAAAATATATTTAAAAAAAAGAAAGAAATCTAGTCGGGAAGTTACCAACATGTGGATCACTGTCGCCAGGCAGTCGTTCTCCAGATAGGGATGCAGCTGATGGATCAGCTGGAGCTGAAGGAAGGCGCTCCTCGCCACCACCGTTAGAATATTCACCAGGCATTGGCCAGGCAAGATTGTACATTTCAGGCAACTGTAAGTGCATATGTGCCAAGGATTGAAAAAACTAACCTGATTTTAATTTCTCTCACATGTGTGTGTGTGTGTGTGTTTTAAAGGAAATGAGAGAGCAACAGTTGCTGCAAAGTGCCATTCAGGTCTCAGTGCAGTAGCTGTTGATGGGGGGAAGATGCCTGTTCAGAAATTTCATGTATTATAGAAAAAACTTGGTTCCAGAAGTCTACAACTATTGGTTATACTCTTCAAATATGCTTTAAAGAATCAATAGAATCACATCTTCTGCAGCACAATGGTGAAAGACATTTGTTAAAATCATGTATTTTAGTTGAGGTGCCACTGGTGCACTACCTTTATTATTGCTTCCCATATTTGTACCAAAATCGTGCAGAGATGAGTGTGCCTCCAAGATACAGAGGAAGAAAGGCCAACAAGCAAAAAACAAAACCAAATAAAATCTTCCCTTGAATCTAGAAATGCATCACCTCCCCAAAGCAGGTCAGAACTTGATGTTTCCCAGATGAGTTTACCTAATTGGTCTCATCTATAAATATTAAATCACCAAACAAAGACTGTCATGGCCATGTCATGAGAGCTGACTCATTCGAAAAGTCAATCATGAAGGGAATGATCAGCGGAAGGAGGAGAAGGGGCTGCCCCAGCACCCGTTGGCTGGACACTGTAAAGGAAGACACGCAGATAACCATGGTGGACTCGAAGGAGGCAATGCGAGACAGAGAGGCATGGAGAGCAATGATCCATAGAGGGGTCAGGGGTCAGACACAACTGAATGGCTATGACAAAGACAATAAATATTAAAAGCAATCATCTCTCTTCCCCATCAGAACCTCTTTGGAAGCACAATTCTTGTGCTGGACTTTACCGCAGTAGCGAGGCCCTAGGCCTAGCTTTGGAATGTTGAAATGCTGCATCACAACATTAAAACAAAATATAAATCACTCAGGAAATAAGAACACTTTTTAATGGTAACTCCAATTGTCTTCCCATCTCCACAGGACACTAGTGGATCCTCAGAAAATGATCGGACTGATTCTAGCCAGGAGGATGGAAAGAAACCAAACAAATCACAACAGCTGAAGAAAGTTTTTAAGGAATATGGAGCTGTAGGCGTAGCATTCCATGTTGGGATTTCTTTGATGTCTTTGGGAATATTCTATCTAGCAGTATCAAGGTATCTTTCCTATACTTTTTATAATTACTTTTGCGGGGTTGGTAGAGGACGTATTTATTTATTTATTGAATATGGGGGAAAGGAAGGGACAAGCCTTGAGGATATTGTTACACCCAGTGTAAGTGAAATCCTGTGCGTGTTAAACAAAAGAATTGCCTTAATGGATCGGACCAAGTTCCATTCACTCCAGCATTTATTTTTTAATAGTAACAAACAAAATATCTCTGGAAGTCCATAAGCAACACATGGTTGTGTAGGTATTCATTGACTCCATGTATTTACATAATCATTTCTTGAAAACAAAATCTAAATTGGGCACCGACATGGTATCATGTGATATTGAACTCCATTCAATTCTGCACCGCCTTTCACAGCCAGAGAGCTCTCCAAATGCTTTATACTTCAAACCTGCTGAAGTATCCAATTGAACTGGAGAGCCCACACTTGTGCTAATGTACTTCATGATCTTCTCCCAAATGATTAAGGATTTTGAAAGGTGTACCACATGCTTTTTCTCCTTTTTAAAAATCATCTGGAACTGGCTAAATAGGTGAGATTTTTTGATTGCGTTTTCTTTCCTGACCAAGAGCCAGTACCCCATTCCATGAATGTGTTTAGTCTCTTTTACTAGCACATGTGCCATAAAAAAAATTAACAGCTTGTGGCAGTAAATTGCATTAGTGGAGCATGTGGTGAGCTAGTTTTTTGAAAGAGAGGGACAGCTCAGAGATTGTTGGCTCAGAGTATCATGCTGAAATGATTGTCTATATGCAGCAATCTGAGAAGCAGAGCTTTGTGAAATGTGGCTTCCCATGGGAACTCTTGCTCTCCCTTCTTCCCCCACCCTCTCTAGATTAGCTGCCATCTTGAAAATGCTACTTTATCAGGGGCAGAAGTTTTTTTTAATAATTCAAGTTAAAAATAAAATCCTTTTGAAAATTCATGATCATTTTTAATGTTACTAAGGTACAGTATGTTTTTCCCCCTTTTAGTGGAGTGGACATGACTACTATTCTCTCCAAGTTGGGACTCGATGACGCTGTGGTACAATCCAAGCTAGCTGCTGGGACAAGTGCTTTTGTATTGGCCTACGCTATCCACAAACTCTTTGCGCCTGCCCGAATCAGCATCACCTTAGTCTCTGTGCCATTGCTTGTCCGATATTTTCGGAAGAGAGGTTTCTTCAAGCCTCCACCTTCAAGCCCATGATTTTAAAACCGTGGAAGGAAAAAGGACATGGCCCTGCTTCTTAAACATTTTGCAGTTGCTGCACCTTGGTGATGCTTCTGTATGGATTCTAGGAATGCCCCAATGGATTGTCTCTTTTGTGGAGAGTGAGGAAGTGGTTTGTTGAGATAAAGTTTTAAAACTATTATTTGATTTCTTCTCGTGTCTGTTGCTAGCTCATTGTGGCAGACCAAGAACATTTTTGGGAAGATAGGAAGCTGCCTTATATCCTATCAGATTATTGACCTGTCCAGCACAGGCTTCTGGTCTCTGACTGGCCAGGACTCCTCATCACCTGCTACCAAATCCCTTTAAATGGCAGCTATGTTGGGTTCTTCAACTTGCAAAGCATGTACAAATGCACATGAACTTGGCTTCCTCCTCACACATAGAAAGGGCACAAGCATTTAGAGCCCCTTATATTAAGTATGTAATATACTTAATTCTGTACATGGGGTAGTAGAATTATCAACACTGATGTTACATTTGACATTTGGGAAAGTAAAAATATTGACTAGTTCCTCTAAAGAAGATTAGCACTCACATTTGCTAGGCGCCATTTAGCTGGTGCAGTCCAGTGGGCATCTGTACCAGATGCCTTCTTATCAGATCTCTTGTTCCATCCTGCTTGCTGAAAACTCTTCAGGACATAGTGATCTAATTAGCAAATAAATCTGTTTTGCATATATGAAATCTGCCTGATACAGGAGAGTAGGCTATTATAATCCAGCATTCAGATAATACATGGCTATTTTTATCATGTGGTGCCTTCTACTGTTGCTTGAATTTAGGAGTAAAATAGAATCAGTTTAGGTGTAGGCATGAGAAAGCTCTGTCTACTGAAGTCTCACTGATGCTTTAAATGGGGAAATAACATTTCTAGATTTTATTTTAAATCAGTGAATCATGCTGTATATGTCACATCCATAGAAATATGAGCAATTAATTCAGGGAACCTTAAACCTTTATGTATACATATGCCCCCACACATGGATGTGAGGCTGTAGACCTAGAATTTGCATCAGCTCTAGCTAGTACAACCAGTGATGAGGTCTGATAGAAGTTCTAGCCAATGTTTGGCCCTCCAGAATCTTTAGCCTACTTGTTTTAAAAGATTATCACCAGCTCCTTAATTTGAACCCACAAGCTAATAGGTAGTATTATAAACTACCATAGAACTACCTAGCTCAGCCTTCATCAACTTGGTGCCCTTAAGAAGTGTTGTACTGTACTTACTTTGACTAGCATAGCTGTAGATGCAGTTCTAGCCCAACACACTGGGGAAGCATTAGCTAGCTATATTGTTTCCTGCACCTAAACTCCTAAATATCTGTGTAATACAGACTTTTATACAACTTTAGGCAAAAAAACCCCTCAAGGTAACAAGGTTTTCTACAGCACTGGCTGTTGCTTTTGGAAAATACAGATAACCACTCCCTTGGAAAGGAAAAAAAAATCCTTCCCACCAGAAATACCAGCACAGTCCCTATACAAGTTTAAGCACTAAGATGGCCAGGGTGTAATAAATATGTTAACTATGTCAGTAAAACATTCAAGTAGTAAACTGCCATACAAGTATGGCTTAATCAGGTTGAATGCTGTTAAATTAGCACTTACTGTATATACCAGTTATAAGAGGAGCCTTGAAACTAAAAATAGCAAAGCAAAAAACTGACACATAACCCAAAATAATATCCTTGTCTTATACACAGGTCACCTCACTACACAGGTCACTATATGTAGCTATACTTCTGAAACATACTTCCTGGTCACCTGTTCCATACATTATTACCATATATACATATTGATGGATAAGACAACCCTTACAACCAAAACTAATGAAGCAAAAATGAAGCATCGTATATGCCCCACATATGACAAACACCAGAAAAACAGCCCCAGGTACCTACTTATACATGAGTCACCTTATACATTGGTATCTATGGTAATTTACACTCTATTTGAGTATTAGATTCCACATAGTTTCCATTCAATGAAGTTATGATGGCAACAAGAATTATTGCCCATTTGTGTTGCATAGATGGGTTCTGCACCGTATATTGACATCGCTTCTGCTGTCTTGTCTTGGATTTTTCTCCACCCCAGCAGCCATGGGTTTTGAGCATCCAATTTAAGAACACCAAGGGGCCTTTTAAGCCACTGAACAGTGGTCATAACAGCTTTGCTTGTCAGGACAACAGTTCATTTAATTACAACATCCCTTGTTAGCCACTGTGAAATTCAATGTGTCTAGCAAGTCAGAAGCAGATCATAAAGGCAAGAGCCTCCATTCATTACTTCCTAACTGGTATTCAACAGCCTGCTACCTGTATACACATTTGTCTACCATGACTACTTGCTATTAAAATGCCTATTTGTCATGAATTTATCTAATCCTGTTAAAGGTATGACCACTGTACCATATGGTAACAAATTTCATGCACTGTTTTATGAACAAGTACTTTTGACTGTCTGATTTACCAGGGGCAGTGGATTCAAAGTATCATGGATGTCAGGAGATAATTCTAGCAGACTGCTCTAGCTAACCCACCATCCAGTGGAAGTCAAAATCTGAATGAAAAATCATTTTCTCATTATTTACCATTTCTAGGCCCAAGTAGGACCTGCTTATATGTTAATACATAAATGAAGCCCTATATTCTTGCACATCATGTTTTAAAAATACCTATAAAATATAAGACTTCACTGCATTTTTTAAATTAGTGACAGGGGTCCTTCATTAGCTTTATTTATCAGCACATAGTTTTAAAAATATAAACAGCCCACATCAGTTTTTCTGAAGCTTTGCCTGTACTCTTCACCACTATGCCCATTAACAGCAAGTCATCTGTTTACTAAGTCTGCCATATGTACAAATAAATAATATCACAGTCAAGTGACTATCCCCGCCCACAGATAGTCTTTTAGGACACAGAGGATTGACAGGGAGGCTCATTCTGCCTTCATATTTAAGACTGGTTCCAAATTGCTCACATTATTCTAGCCTGAACAGTTAAAGGTGACTTTCAAGCTAAGAATGTAGTACTTGGATTCTAAGTCCTAGAAAATAGATTTAAATACCACTCAACTAGAAGCAGTTGCAAGTAAAACATTTAACAGATGATTTTACAGAGAAATTGTTAGTATTGGTAACAGTTTAAGATGGACAATTGTATACTCTGTTAAGTCCAGCCAGCACAAAACATTAGCACCTTGGGGCAACTAAAGAAAGAAATTGTCTCAGAATATTGGGATATTGCCTATAAAGAATTTATTTAGAAGAACAATTTCAAAATGCCTCTTAACAAAAGGCAAGACAGACAGTTAGGGACTGTAGTTAGCGCACATTACAGACACAGGTTCCACCCATTTAAAATCACTGTAGATGTTAACTTCAGCCTGCAAGGACAGGGGTATTATTGCACTGTTCCAGGAAGCCATGACTCAATCTCACATGTTGCTATCAAGCAGCTAGAAGGACCAACACAGGAAAAACAGCCGTTTCATAAAGAAGGTCTTCAATGCCTGCAATTACATTATGTGCAAAACAACTTCAAGTAAGTGAAATACTCTTGAACTGTTTCATGGTAGCACCAATATGGATGTGAGAAGGATTTGCATCCCAAATTCCATAAGGTTCATAGGTCAACAGCTCATACTTCAATATATATTTATATGCTTTTTAATCCAATTTATGCTGGCTATCAGTCTGCAGTACAATAATTGCCAAAACAATTTTTGCTACAAACTGCAAAACTGCAGTATTCACCATGCTAGGACTGGATTTTGTTGTCATTAGTAGTACTAGTAGTAGAAGTAGTCACTGAACTAGCAGCAGCTTCAGCAATTTTATGCTTAGGAGGTTTTGTAGAGTTCGCTGTAACCCATGGATGTCTGAGCACATCCTCCAGTGGCAGCCTGTGGTACGGATTATGCTTCAGGAGCTTTGAAATCAGATCCCGAGCTCCCTCTGTTACAAAAGAAGGTACTTTGTACTCTACCTTTAAACCAAAGAAATAGTTGCAGTTAGTTAGTACATAATGTCTGTATTTAAGATCACAAACCATTTGGGTAGAGACCTGTTCTCCCCTGCAGAGGAGGGTAGGACGTGCTCCAACAGAGCAAAGCTCAGGGAGCCAAGGTTCCATTTGGATGCCAGGAAGCATTTCCTGAAAGTTAGGACCCCAAGGGTATGGAACGGGCTTCCACGAGAGGTCGTTGAGGCCCCATCGGTGCGGGTGTTCAAGGATAGGCTGGACGTCCACATAGTGGGCATGTCGTGAGCGGACCCGGCTGGTGCCGGAAGTCAGACTAGATGGCCTGGGAGGCCCCTTCTGACTTTCTCTGTTTCTGTGTTTTTCTAACCAGTTGAATATACTTGTAATTTTATTCACTAGCCTTTATCCTAAAGTAACCCTATTTAGTTTGCTATGTAACTAGTACTCTCTCAACTTTGCATACCAGGTGCTAGCTCAGAGTAGCAGTCCTCTTACTATATAAGCTGGTCTGCCTCAGCTTGTTTTCCTACTGCTGTGAAAGCAAGTGGGAAAGCATACTGGAGTAGGCATTCACACCTCAGCAGGAAATCAAAATCTCTAAAAACTTGAAATGTCTTCAACTGCTAGTTGATTATTTATATGCAATGAAATAATCAATGCAAGCATAGAATCAGCCAACAAGCTAACTTATAATTCAACTTACCTTTGAAATGGCTCTGTATGTTTCCTGGTATGTTTTTGCTTCAAAAGGAGGCTTTCCTACTAGAAATTCATAACATAGGACACCAAGGCTCCACAAATCCACCTTCTCATCATGTGTTCTCCCTTCAATCATTTCTGGTGGCAAGTAATCAAGGGTACCACATAAAGTTGACCTCCTAGAATTGAAAAATCCAATTCATGAGCCACTGAACTAACCAAAAAGAGCAGTCAAAGCAGGTGTAGCTACTGAGATTTCCTTGATCTATGTCAGTGTTCTTTACCTTGATTAACACATTTGCAAAGAATTGTCTACCAATTCAGGATTGGTGTTATAGTAGGTTTATGTTCCACATAAATATTGCTAATAGTGGTTAAGTGAGCCAGGGTGGTGTAGCAGTTAAGAGCACAGGACTGGGGCTCAGGCAATCTGAGTTCTAGTCCCCTCTCAGCCATGGGGCCAACTGGGGGACTTTGGGCAAGTCACAGATGTTCAACCCAACCTACTTCACAGGGTTGTTATGAGGATATGATTGAGAGGGGAGAATTATGTAAGCCACTTTAACTTCTTTGTAAGAAAAAAAAGGTGAGATATAAATCTGATAAATAATCAAAGCAACACCTCCTTATGGGATGAATTCAGCATTTACTGTGGACCACTGTAACATTTCATTGGTGCATGTACTCTAAATTGTAACACCTAGGTTGTAAAAAAAATCAAGATAAAATATAGCTAATGACAGATAAGTGTTATGCTTGAGAAAGCCAAGAGTTTTGAAAAAAGTAGTTTTAAAAAAATCACCCAGGAAGGAAGCAAACTATGTTTATAATGTAATGCCGGGACCAAACAAAGGACAGGATTCTATTTTATATTTAGAGGAGCTGAAGAGAAAAGTCTGTCATTTCACAGACCCTAGCTCAACATAAACCTTCCAGACTGGGTACTATCACCCCCTCTGGCAATCTTTTATCACCTGAGCTTAATCCCATTCTCCTCCCTCCATATCACTTGTTTAGAGTTGCAATAAATAGTTTCTTCCTAGTTATCTGAAGCATAATACAATCTACTTAGCCACTCTTTGCTGGACCTCATAGAAGTTCATTCATCACTGTTGATCTTACTTCTGACTTTTGTTTTTATACCTTTCAGCATTTTAATCACACAATTAGGGAATAGTACCACATTAATTTTAGTTTTTCAACACAGATGCAGAGACAAAAAGCAACAGTCATGAACTGTTTCTCTCAAGAATCCTCAATATGGGGTTACAGTCTTCGTGACACTGAGCCTGTTATATCTTTCCTATTTTGTAGTCTGAACACATATGCTTAAACTAAGTCCTGACCTTCTCAGTCAGCCTATTACCTTGGTGGAATGTTTCACTTGTTTTTTTTTTTTTTTTAAGAGTTGGTTTTTTGTTTCACTAAGCTTTGTTAGCTTCAGGGAAATAGGAACTGTGTTACAGTTCCCATCCATCATTTAGGCTCTTTAATACAAACATTTCTTGCCACCTTTCTAGTCTAATTCTAATTCTTTCTATTCATATTTCTGCCAGAATTCATTGTCTACTCCCACTGTCAAAATGCATTTCCCCTATTCCCAAATCTTTCTTAGGACTGCTAGTGAGTTGTCCCCTACTCAACATATTTCTCTATACAACCACTACCCCCAATCTCTCTTTAGAACTTCCCTAAGGGGGAGTGCCTTCCCCACTCCTTTCCCCCTTCTCATATTTTCTTGGTTTTATACAGTATTTCCTTGCTGTTTCCATTTCACACCTGTTTGATAGGCTTGTTTGTGTCTGACAGTTTGGACTCAAGTATTCAAATAAAAAACCACCTTTTCCTTGTTTTAATTCTTAACAAATGACACAGCCTGTTTTACAAGTAGCTCTATTGCTTTAATTGCACTGATGCCTCTTAAGTAGGTATCTGCTGGCTTTTGGCAACACAAAATTAAATATCCCTCAAAGATATGCTCAGGTTCCATTGTATATAGTATGCACATGTATATCCACCAGCACAATTCCAGCACAGCCTGATGATGATCAAATATGCCCTATATCCAAGAAGTGTTGCATTTCAGTTAGAAAAGAAAGCCAGATCAAGGGAGGGATAAATTGCCCCACCTGAGCTAATTATAGTGTAAAGTACTTTGGAGGAGGATATGGCTGCCTGCTAGCCTGAAACAGTACTCTCTGGAAGCAAAAATATGATTGCATTACTTTGTGGCACGTTTCCTTATGATACAAAATATTCATAAATTAAGTTGTCCCCCACTCAGTTGTTAGCAGAGGCAAATGCTAAGCTATTTTCAAAGAGGTCATTTCCTGATCAAATCAGCCAAGTTCTTATGGCTGTATTTTCACATACTTTAAACTCTCAGAACTTAAGCATTAAATGTAACCTTACCTAGATGATGGAGCATGCACAGACCACCCAAAGTCAGCAATTTTTAGTTCTCCATTTGATCCAAGCAGCAGGTTTTCAGGTTTTATGTCTCTATGAATTACTCTTTTTGAATGACAATACAATAAAGCATCTGCAAGTTCTGTCATATACTGTAAAAGTAAAGATGTGCTTATACACTAAAATTCAAAGCATCTAAGAACAATATTATGCTTTAGATTAGCAGGTTATAAATGACTAAACATTTGAGGAAAATAGTGGGAAATATCATATATACCAGCATATAAAATGACCCTTGAAACCAAAAATAGCAAAACAAAAATTGGGGGTTGTCTTATAAGACTGACATATAAAACCAGCCCAAAATACTAACCCCGTATTATATGCAAGGCACCTTATATACCAATTAGTATATGGGTATTTTTCTGAAATGTATTTCACGGTTGCTTGTTCCACAGGTTATTTTTATGTATCAGTGTATAAGACAACCCATGAAACCAAAAATAATGAAGCAAAAATTGGGGTTCAACTTAGATGCCCGAAATATGAAAAACAGCCCAAAATATCAACTTCATCTTATATGTGAGTCACCTTATGCTAGTATATACAGTATTTCAATATATTCATCACACTGCATTGTTATGAAAAACAGCAAGTCCTCATCAGAGGACAAAAGTTTGCACAAAATATAAAGCCTCCTTCTCACTACCAGCCAAATAACTCAGACTAAATTGGATTTTTTTTTTTTTTTGCAACCACCAGTGTATATACACACACACAATAATTGCTTCACTGTGCAGTGTTTTAACATGCCCCCTGATTATTATATGAAGGGCTTTATATACACTAAGCAACATCACCAAACTCCTTTTAGCCGGAACAGCTGTTTGCACTATCCCAAATGCTTGATTATCCTTTTTTCCTAGTTAGTCTCCTCTCCTTCTGAACATTTGCTATAGTTTAGCTTATTCTCCAAATGTTTCATGACTTTCATTTAGGTTAGGGGCAAGTAACCTTTTTTACCCCTGAAGGGCGCATGCACTGAGGAATGTTGTTCACACTCATACATACTCTCACACTTACTTTACCCATATCTTACTTATTTAAAGTGCGTTCTTCCCCCCACTCCCCACTTGTTCTGAACATAGAAAAAAGAAAAAGTCCGTTTTCTGTAATTTTGCTTACCCTGTGCTCATCTCCCCCAACTCTGTTTTTTAAAAACCTTCAGGACTCATTGGGAAGTTTGTGTAATTTAACAGAAGGCAAAAACATCTGCCAGCCAAGCAAAGCAACAAAGCTGCTTTTTTTTTTTTTTTTTTTTTGAAAATAGGCAGAAAAGGCTAATGCCCACCTCATACATTTAACTAAGGCAAGAATGGAGAGCACACTGCTGTTCCCCCTCTCACACAAAATACACTTACATAACAAGGGGAAGCATGTAATAAGATTGAGAAAATTCTATTAAATGCCCCCACACTACTGCTCATCTGGCAGTAAGAGCAGAACACCCTGATCAGCAGACTCAGCTATTTTCAGTGCCAATCAGCTGAAGGCAAAACCTACAGCAAATTTGCCATATGTGACCATGAACTATTTAATTCCATTTTGGAAGCTGCAAGTGCACTACAATATCAAGCAGAAAGGAAAGGTAATCTTTTCATTAAAAAGTCATTCAGCTCGGTGGAAGAAACACATCCTATAACAAGCTTTATCTTAACTCTAGGAGGGCTATACAAAACAGCTATCTTCCACCAGTATCTCTTCCATTCTATTTTGGGATGATTTTCAGCAAGCTATGCTATTATGGTGAACTGAGAAATAGTTAACATGTTATTTTTAGGCCAAAGGACAAAACTGTTTAGTGTAAAGCTCTCTCATCAGTAGAGGGAATAAGTGCTCCAAGATGTCTTTTACCGCCAAGGAAAAGTTCAGATAGGTATGTGCAGTATTCCAAACAAGATTGCATAGACAGAGACAAGGAGCATTCACAAAATGACAACATACTGTAGCAGTCCGTTGCTCATCAAATTTGGTAAGCTTTTGGAGCTCTTTGTACACTTCTCCACGAGGTGCATGCTCTAAGATTAAGTAGACTCTTCCTGGATCATGGAAGTAGCCATATAACCGAAGAATATTGGGATGCCTACAAATATAATTTATGAATGAAACCATGATTGCGAATGGAATAACAGTTCTCCCTGACTCCTACCAGCCTCTTAGTAAGAAAACCAGATATGATTGAAACGGTATTCTCTTGAAATCACCAAGAAACTTTCTCTTGAAAGTCAGGTGGAGTTTGTTAGTGCTCAAACCATTGGTAGGTATAAAAATAACTGTTTCAAGCTGTATACCAGAAAGTTAACCCTCAAGACTGAATAGCACCTGCTATTAAGCAATTGTGAACTTGGGGTATAAGCCTCTATCTAATTTCACAAATGCTTTCAAGGTCCCATCCTCCACCCAAACTGCTTGTATAATATAAGCTTCATGTATTCTGCCTTTACCCCACTATTCTGAGCCAGTGATTGCAAAAGATGAACTTTCCCCACCAGCATGGTTCACAGCCTGTTCTTTGTGGTGCCAAGAACCCCTCAGTTCCTAATCAAAGATGCCTGCTTTCACCTTTGAAAAGGGATATTTACCATCACGACTATTAAGCTTGCATAACCAGATGGCAAGCAGCTCATTATGGTATCAAAATTTGTTGTAACCCACAGGATTAGTGGACATACTTCTCCACAAACATTTCCTTAAATAACAATTTAAGTCAGTAATTCCATAAACACATTCAAAATAGCCATTTAAAATCAATTTTACCTGAGATGAGATTGTATTTCTACTTCTCGCCGAAGTTGATGCTCTACACCTGCTTTTTCCAGTTGTGATTTAAATAAGACCTTCAGAGCCAAAATAAATTTGCTCTCTTTTTCCCGAGCTAGGTACACATTTCCAAATTTGCCTTTTCCCAAAGGACGACCAATTTCAAAATCATCAAGAGACCACTGTTTTCTGGAAAACAAAAAGTGATATTTAGATTGCTGAACAACAGGAGCAAGGAAGATTTTATTGGGCTTCAACTGACTTATCTTCTACACCTGCTTCTCTTCTGCTTTCTACCTACCCAGAAACTTGTGTATTTCACCCAGTGCAAGATAACTCAAGTTAACAGATGACTTTAAGTGTTTTCAGAAAAAGGGTCAGCCATGACTTCCTTGTCTCCCAGTGCCAAATGTAACCCATTACCTGCAGCACCAAGTAGTGACTAATTAAGAACCCAATCTCTATCTTAATACATTTCAAACCATGAGGTTTGAAGTTGCAGATATTATGGCTATAACATGTGTCCTAGGCTCTTGTATCTCCCACCCACTTATAAAAACAAATGAAATAGATTACTTTTTGGTCTCGCTTTTTGAATTTGTTTCCTCTTTATTCTCATTCTTTGAATTTGATACTCCTTTGATCTCAGTCTGGTTTTGCACACTTTCTGTTCCAGATTTTTTTCCTGCATATACAAAGATAAATATATGATTGAATTATATACACAACTCCACATTCTAGCAGTATGTACTTTAAAGTGTCCTTCACCATAGCACACTTAAGCTCATGTTTTGCAGATGGAATAATTTTAAAAACATATGCACATTCATATCCAGACATCAACACATACGCTAACATTGAGGCACCAGAAAAAATTATAATGCAAAGTCAAAAGATTCCTATGGAAATGACCGTTTGCAAATTAAACTAGTGCCTTCTATGTGAAATGACACTTGATTGCACTAAAGAGTACCTGCTGATTTTACATGATTACTAAGATATGCAGCTCTTTGAATACTCAAAAAAGCTCTTTCATACTACCTATGGTGTTCCCACTGTCTTCCCTTTTAGGAAAACTTGGTTGGGTTAACTGCTTGTCTATAATTTCATGTCTGAGCAGTTTTTAATACAATGTATCCTCTGTATATAAGCCTCATTAGTGTATCTACAAAGGTGGACCAGTCCATACTATTTGGTGCTGCCCCGAAGAGAAAAAGATATAAAGCAATCAAAGACAGGAAGAGTGTGTCTCCGTTGGTTTTCCCAGACCTCTCAGCAGCTTTTGATATTATCAACCATGGTATCCTTCTGGATAGGCTGGCTAAGTTGGGAGATTGGAGGCACTAATTTGTGGTAGTTCCACTACTTGGCTGGTCTATTTCAGAAGGTGGTGTGGAGGGATTGTGGCTCTATGCCATGGCAGCTTTGCCATGGAGTTCTGCACCATTCCATATTATCCCCCCATACTCTAACATCTACATTGAAACTGCAGGGAGAAGTCATCTGGGTGTCTGGGCTATGGAATCATCAGTACACTGGTGTGGCAGTGACTGTCCTTAACCACTGTCTGGTTGGGGTGATGGGCTGGATGAGGGCCAACAAATTGAGGCTTAATCCAGACAAGATGGAGAGCCTGTTGGAAAGTTGTTCAGCCTTCCAGGTAAGTGGATTTTAGCCCTGTTCTGGACAGGGTATGCAGCTTGGAAGTGCTCCTCAACCCAGACTTGTCCCTGAAACTCCAGGCGGCTGTGGTGGCGAGAAGCGCTTTCCTTCAGCTCAGTTAATCAACTGTGCCCTTACCTGGATGAGCAGTGCCTAGCAACAGTGACCCATGCTCTGGTAACTTTCCAGTTGGAATATTGTAATGCGCTCTACATGGGGCTGCACTTGAAAACAGTCCAGATGCTTCAGTTGGTTCAGAACAGAGCTGCCAGTATGGTAACAGGAAGTGGCAGGCATACACATATAACACCAGTCCTTTGCCATGTACACTGGCCACCAACTCAAGTCTGGGCCCAATTTAAGGTGCTGGTGATGACCTATAAAGCCCTAAATGGTTTAGGACCTGGATATCTGAAGGAGGGTCTCCTTCCCTGCCCTTTAAGATCTGGGGTAGAGTCCTTTTTCCAGGAGCCCTCCTTGAAGGAAATAAGGAGAGTGACTACCCAGAGAAGGGCCTTCTCTGCAGTGTCACTCCGGTTATGGAATACATTCCCCAGAAAGGTTCACCTGTCACTGTCACTTTATTCCTTCCGATGCCAGGCTAAAACCTTATTTTTAGATTTGAGTCTGATTTTAATGTGGGGTTTTATTGTACAGAAAATCAATTTGGATGCTGTGTTCCACTTTGTTTTATTATAAGACCATCTCGAGACCTCAGTAGTGGACAGTATATAAAAGTTTTAAATAAATACATAAGGACCAGATCAAGGAGATTTTAGTTGATGTGATTTGTGTGTACATATAATTTTATAAGAATATTTAATTTGGGACAAATACAGTACAGGAATATGTAGTTTGGAACATTATATAGAACACAGGAGAGATTATTCCTTATTAAAATGAACCCAATCAGACTCTGATGTCACTGATGAAGGTATCCTCTGAAACATGTCAAGCAGTTCACTATTAAAACACATTCTATTTTCCAATACCATTACGAGGCTTGCCTGTTTTTGCTCATTAATATACAGATATAAACAATACACATGGATTTGCTACAAAGTTACAAGACAGATGAACACAACTATTTACCAGACACAGATGACTGATGTGAGGCTGCAGTGGATTTACTTGAAGCTAGACTCCTAGATGTTGGCTGAACAAGAGATGTTGGTCGCTGCTGAACTGACTGGTTGGAACGTTTTGGACAGGAAATGTGTTTCTGTGTCTGGGATTGAATAGGCACTCGTTGGGGAACATTTGACGTAACTAGAACACGCTGTGCTTGCACTCCACATCCAGGTGTTCGGTTCTGGGTTGCAGGAATCCGCTTTGGAGCATCCACAGTAGCTACCTAATTTTTTTAAAAAGAACAGACCTGTAAATATAGTCACCCTCTTCTGAAAGCTTTGAGGTGCTTCAGTGTTTATATAGATTCCATTTCCTTTGTAATGAAGTAATTGAAAGCCTATTAGTATAGGTTGACACTCACAGATAAAAGACTCCAAATTTCACTGATCCCATATTTTTTAGCCAGCATATTCAAATCCTTACTCAGCCTTAAACCACCCCCCCTCCACCTCCAATCTCTCTCTCTTCCAAAATTGTTTCCTGCTTACACACAAATCTGGATAACCACATTTCTTAGGCAGGAGGGAAAGAGGCATTCCAATCAAATATTTGATGAATATTGATAAGTTATTTTCATACCATACGATTGTCAGGCTAAATTTTTTCATCAGTTTCAACCATTTCAGCAGTATTTTTTTTTTACAGATACAAGAACACAGTGTTAGAAGGATCTCCAGAGATAACACAGCTCAGCTCACAATTGTTTAACACTGTTAAGTGCAGTAGGCCAGGAGGTCAAGCAACCTAGTCTGTCTGAACTAACCACAATTAGATTTACTATTGCTTCTCAAATTTGGATGCAATTATAAACCGCTGGCCTACCTTGTAGTGCAGAACTGCCTTTAGCACTTCTCTTTCAACTGGCACAACCTTGTAATCTACCCAATAAGTGAGGCAAGATGCTCTGTGGCTCATTCTCATTTAAAAAAAAAAAAAACAGCTTAGCATTGCATCTGATCAGGGTTGCACAAAATTCTGAGAAAGTATTCTATAAGATAGTTTACTCAGCAATGCATAAAATTAGTGACATTCAGATAATATATAAAGTAGCTAAGCATAAATTATTATTATTATAACAAAGCGAACAGTTAGTCTCTTTGTAGCATCTGCAAAAAATCACTTTACCTTCACATTTTGACAGGGATGCCTACTCAGGTTCTCTTTACCAGTTTTGTCCATTATCGCCTAGGGAGACATGAAATTTAATCACCTTCCATGTACAGCATACAACACTTCAGTGATTTATGCCCTCATGCCTCCTTCAGAAATTTGACTCACTTCCATGTTTAAGTCATAATCTCTCAAACTACTATGCTTTGAAAAGTATTTGATATTAAATGCATTCACCTTCCTACACCTGTCAGAGAAGCAAGACTCCACATAGCATTAATTGGATATTATCTGGGCAGCATCATCAGCTCCAAAGAAGCAGAAAGGAATAATAAGATCTCTCAATGGAGCTCATACTACATATGACAAGTTCCTGGAGTCTTCACTGCCTAAAAGGCAATTTCATTCTAGGGCTTCCGAGGACTAGGTTATACATACAGCTGCAAGAAGATGACTGAGAATACATGGATGCATGCCTTAAGAATGAAATCACCTTTCAGTTTCAAATCATTGGACAAACAGTTATGCCCAAGGCTATCAGATTTGGAAAATGTTGGCCTAGACATATACCCTCAAACTTGACCCCATAAATACACTTCCCCTACATTTTATAGGCCTTTTATTTGAACTCTCTTGTAACAATCACAGAAAATGCAATGCAAAGTTTTTGTTCTCAAGAATTTCTAAGGGTGCAATCCTATGCAATTTTTGGTCAGAAATAGTCCTACAACTATCATAATTGCCTAGGCAATCCTGAGAGTTGCAGGAGTCTCTCTAAACACGCATGAGATTGTGGCCTTAAAAACTCCCAGCTTGTAACAACCAACAAACTGGGAATTTCAACTTCAGCTATTTTGCTCCTCGAGTGTCTCAGCTTCTTCTCTGTCGGGCCAATGGGAGAAGCAGAACCACCCTGGCAATTGGTTGAAACAGACTCCAGGCACAGTCAACATGAACTGAAGCAGGCTTATAACATTCTTACTTTCCATAAACCTGCTCCACCCTCCCTCTGCTTCAAATTTCCCCCAGCTACATCTATAACATTAGTGTCTAACCCCGCTCCCCTGCCGAAAGAGAAGTGCTCAAGATCTACCAGCTACTCTACTGTTAAGTTTACAGCCTACTAGCCCAGGGTGCCATGCAGGAATTTCTCCCTATTTTATCCTGCAAGGTGGGCTCCAAGATAATGACTGGACAAAGTGAGCACAGGACTGAGTGCATATGTGCACACAGGTCCCTTCTGCTATGACCAGACACTCTACTCGGGCACCATGCTGCCTCTCATTGCACACTTCAGAAAAAACTTCTAGAAATGTCTTTTTACACCCCATAACCAAACGGGGGGGGGGGACACATGCCTATGGTCTTGTAGCCCTAATTGCTTACTTCCGTCGTATTTTTCTTTAAAGCAGCTTTCCCCAACCCTGCACCCTCCAAATGTTTTGGACGTCAACTCCCATCAGTCCCGACCAGCATGGCCAAGAATCATGGATACTTGGAGTTGTAGTTCAAACCATCTGAAAGAAGCGAACTGGGGACGGCCTTATTACCTCACGGCCGGGCCAAAGAAAGAAAAAAAGGAGAGAGAGAAAGGAAAGCAAATACTATCGGACAACAGTAGTAGAGAAAGACAAGCTGCCACATAAAACTCCATTTAACGGAGAATAAACTGGCTTTACCTCATACCTCCCCCCCCCCCACCGCAGCGGAAAGCCGAGAGAAAAACTCTGCAACGTTTAAGAAGCATATTCTCCCACGAACGGAGCTACAAGGGCGGTAGCTGAAGAAACAAGCCGCAGCATCCCACAATACAGGAGAACGCCACCCCTTCTGAGCCATTACCAGAGGAGCCCGCCGCGAACGCTCCCGCACCTCGACCAGCGGCCTCCAACAGCGTTTGAATTCAAACACTCGCCCGCCTCTTGAAACGCCCTTTAAACTGCCACCGCGCTGCGATTGGCGAATCTCTCCCCCTTCCACGCCAAGGCAGAGTTCTCCGATTGGCCTCTTCTGCAACAGCGCCCGCCCATCCACTAACCGTCCTCGCAGGGGAGAACGGCGTCCTCGAGGGCTCGGGTCATTTGCACATGCGCAAGACAAAAGGAAATTAGGGAAAGAGGACGTGAGACGGGCTCTTCCCCTCGCCCTTTCCTATGGAGAGTAGCCAATCAGGATACGCTTTAGCGTGCGCCGTCTTTCGTTTGAGGTCGCGCCCTACGTAAATTACGTAAGGCTGGCAAGCGCGTTTTTTCGTCGCGCTTTCTTCCTCCGAATCGTGGCGGACTGTCTGTTTTCGTTCTTACGCATGTTGCGTATCACCTCACTAGGCAGGCAGCCCCAACGATGGCAGCGAGCAGCACGTCTCCGCCTCCATTCTTCTGAAGAGATTTGCGATGGAGGCTGGCCAAGACTGAGAGGGCCTTAGAGGTGCTTATCCCGCCCTCCACACACATTTCTGGGCCCGAGACCTAGCCCTGAAATTTGAGTGAAGCAGCTCCTGCACCCCTCATGAGGGAGCCACGCATATCAGGGCCTTGCTGTAACGGCAGCCAAGGACAGAGGCCTGCTCTGTGGGAGACTCTGATCGGCTTGAATGCATAGGGAATATAGGGCTGTAATCATAGTCAGTTACTCGGATATACATCCTAGGATAAGTGTGGCAGACCAGCAGGAAAAAGTGCCTTTTCTTTGTTCTTTGTGCCTCCATTTTAACAGTAAAAAACAGGAAGAGGACTGTTGTTTTTTTTCCTTAAGGAGTGGTTCCACCCTGCCCCAAAGCATGGCTTTACTAGGCCAAATATGAAAGGCCATTACTAATGACTATTTTGGAATCTACAGTAACTTGTAAATAGAGTTGTAAGTGGCAGGAAGTTACAGATCACTGGACAAACTCTGGTTTGGACTACGAACCTATACGGTATTTGTACAGCCCATGAATTCAACCAGAGTGGCAGTATGTTGTGTTAAGAGGGACTGGGATTTGCCAGTCACTATAAGACTGATCTTTGGAGTCAAAAAGAGCCTGAACAAAGAGGAATTTGCCAACTTTTTGAAAGAGCACTGGTGTTTATATGTTGTACAATCGTGTTACTTAGCTACTGAGCTGAGCAAGGGGCAACATGCAAGCGGATGGGTTCTTAACCAAGTGTGAAAGAATGTTGAGCCAGGTTAGATTTTCTACAATGAGAGTAAATGTTACAAGATAAACAGTGTACCATTGACTTACCAAGATACCAATCACTGTATCACACAACGAATAACTTGTTGACAGAAGCATCTGTGGACTTAAGCAGCAGATCCCACCACCTATGTGCACTGCAAAGCTGGTGTGTCAGGAATGAGGCTGACCTTGGGAAACTAGGGCAGACATCAAATTGATGTGCTCTTTTGAAGAATGGGGTTGAAGATTATTTACACATAATTGGAACTCTGAACAAGTGAGGGGGGAATTTAAGAGGGCAGGGTGAAGAACGTGTGATAGTTCTATGAGGAAGAATGTCAGGTCGTCGTATCACTCCAGCATGTGATAGGCGGCAGCTTCCATGGAGCATGAGTAACATGGGCTCACCCACGAATGAAGCACGGCCAATGCGGTTACCATTTCTTGAGGCTGATGTGAGTAGAACTTTCCTTGGGATTGGGGGTTTGGGCCAATTGGTCGTTTGGACTGATCATAAATCCATAAGGACTTAACATGGGGACACACACAGTGTCATGCTGGATCAGGTGAAGTGCTTATCTAGTCCAGCATACTGTTCGCTCAGTGAGCAACAAGATGCCTACAAAAAGCCCTCAGGGACTTCCTCCCATTCATGTGCCCCAACAACTGGTAATGTGAACCATACTGCCTCTGACACTGGATTTATATCAGCAAGAGAAAGGGTCGATTTAAATCAAGTTTCCCAGTGAAAAATATTTCATAAATTTCCTGAACTGCAAATCTGACCACTAAACTGTATTAATTTACAACAAAATATTGAGCTGGTTTGCACATCCTGGTAAGTTACTGTGAACTACTTCACCCACAGAGCACTGAGATGCATGCCTGTGACCATCTTTGAATATGTGAACTGCCATGGAGGTATGCTGCAGTTAATTGGTTATTTGAGGGTTATTTGAAGTTGCTCAATCCTCCAATAACTCACAGTGCCCACTGTCCCACAAGATGACAAGTTCCGGTACCTCAGCCACTCTGCCTTGCATATTCAAAATGTCAGCTGGCACATGTTGCAGTGGCTTATCATGATGTGTGAAACAGTCCACTCTTATTTGCAGTGATTCATTTTTAAAAGCATGCTTTATTTCCTCTCTGACTATATATGGTTTGTATGCTTTCCTTTTTTTACTTACAAAGGGAATATCTTTGAAATTGTCCAGTACATGGTTTTTTTATGATCAACAATCATGTCAGTTTGAGGTTGAGTTAGTGTAAATTCTATACATGTCCACTTAGTTCAATACTATAAAAGTCTACTTAAAAAAAAGTTCCATTGAGTTTAATGGAATTTACTCCCAGGAAAGTGGTTAGAGGCATGCAGCTTAAGCATGTGAATACAGGAAGATGCACACTGGATTTTGTCTCACAGTGAAATGCCCTTAAATAATAGAATGAAGCAAAATTTGATTGTTGTGGGTAGACCAGAACAGTTTATTTCATCAGGTGAAAATTAAATGCTTAGTTTTTATGCATATGGTGTAAATATTCATTTTAAAATTACACTAATTCTTCATTTTGATAGAAAAGCCTCATTTAACTCAAATTATCTGACAGAGGCATTTATTAAATTTGGATAGTAAATATATGACTAACTGGATGGCACATAAAAGCAGCAACAACATACAAATTACTTAATATTTACAGTTATCTAAGAGACGATTACTATTTGCATTTGTTTGAAAAACACAGTTTAAAAAAAAACTTTTTAGAGTATCCCTTTTTAAACCATTTCATCCATTCAGCTGTGCTGTTTTTCTGTCTTAGCTACCGGCTTTGCTAGACCCAGGTCCACCACCACTTCCACACAGAACAATTCTATCCAGCCCATGTCTTTGCAAATCTGTATTTAGTCAGGGAAGCTGAAACTGAGAGACCAGAAATTTCAGGCAGCAGCAGCAGCTTATAAGTAGGCTGGACAGAGTGATTTTCATGGCATGAGAAATAAACATGAACAAATGCTCATGTTAGATTGCATTCCCTATCCATGTGTGAGTGTGACAACACTGTTAATTTTATAAGACTAAGTATAGGTTTAACATGTTTGAGACTTAATTATAACTATGTTATTTTAAAAAATGAGATTAGTATGAGTTTTATTTTTTAAAAAATCAAATCTGTTTTTATCCATCCATACAAGGTAATACATAGCCATCATGACTAGTATCCATAGGTGGTCTAACTCTTCTGCTCTGCTACAAGCACATCCATGATATCATATGTAAATGCTGATTTACTTCCTCATGTATTATCTGAAGTTGTAGCCTGTTGTATACTTACTTTGGAGTAAATTCCCTTAAACTCGGGAGCATGGCCTCCTCAGTAAACATGAACAGGAGCAGGCTTCCCGTTGCAACTACACTTCTTCTTGTTCTCAGTTCCCATTGAAGTCAAGAGGCCTTATTTCTGGGTAGATGTGGATTAAGTTTAGTAGACGTTATCACGGCTTTCATAAAATACTTTCTTTGAAAAATGAGTGAAATAACTACTGTGCAAAAAATGCTGTTGCTGATTCTCGGTGCACACTGAATTTGTAATTACGGTTGCCATTCTGGCAATGCCAATGATGCTTTAAGCTTCACTGATGCTTTAAGCTTCACTTCTGGAATTTCTGCAACTTATACAGCCCTTAAAAGCACAGGAGGCATGCTTGAAAAAGAGTTGACAGTTCAGTTTTCGACAAGCTGCATCAAATCCCAGTTCTTTCCTTTCTTACCCTGCTTCTCCTACCCCGAGCTTGATTTTAACGAAGAAAGTGAGATGTTTCTTGGTTATTGAAGAAGCAGAGTACCATTGGCGCATGCGTGTTGTCAACTATGTGATTTGCTGGATTCATTTCCCTTTCTAGCTTCGGCTTCAATCGATGTGCGGGGGCTCGATGCAGCAGCCTGTTCGACGGAGCGGCCCTCGGTCTAGGTTGCTGCTGCCTCCGCCGCCCCCTCCGCTGCCTGCTCCGCTCCCGATCCCGTTGCCGGCACAGGCACCAAACGACATTGCTGGGCCCCCAGCAGCCATTTTGACCGGAGATCGAGCAAGGCCAAAAGACGGGCTGGTAAGGATTCTTTTTCCAGACCCATCAGTTTGGGGAGTTCCCGCCGTAGCAGTTTCGCCCACGTGGGAGGCTAAAAGAGCCTATGCGTTCCTTTCCCTCTAAGAGCCGCTCCACCCCTATTACCACGATCTTTCTCGCCGTAATTTTGGGGTTCTGAGTATGGATTTCAAGTGAGGCCAAATAACCACAGTTTTACCCTAAAGAGCTGCAAGAATTATGTAAAGGAAAGAATGTGAATACATGGCGAGAAACATGAGTATGTTTTTATTGTAAATATTTTTATTTGGTATCCTACTTGAAGCATGTTAGGCAGTTTAGAAAAGTTTTTAGCGCTCCCTACTCCCAACCTCCGAGCACAAAAGCACGGCTCGATCAAATCACACTGGCCGTCTAATCCTGTATTTTGATATGAGCAGTGGCCAGATAAATGTTTCGTATTGCCTACAAGTAATGCATTAAAGCAATAGCCCTTCTTTGCCTTGTAAACATATGTAACTGGCATCCCAAAATATATTGTTTCTGAACCTGGTAGGTTTTTTCCTATACTTAATGAAATATTCGTTAATTTGTTTGATCAGCCTTCAGAACAAGGCTCTATCCCTGGAGGTGCATCTAGACATAGTAACATAGAAACAGAGCAAGTCAGAAGGAATCTTCCAGGCCATCTAGTCTGACCCCCGGCTCCAGCCGGCTCCGCTCATGGCATGCCCACCATGTGCATGTCGAGCCTTTCTTTGAACACCCTCACCAATGGGGCCTCAACCACCTCTCATGGAAGCCCATTCCACACCCTCGGGGTCCTAACTGTCAGGAAGTGCTTCCTGGCATCTAAATGGAACCTTGTTTCTCTGAGCTTTGCTCCATTGGAGCACATCCTGCCTTTCTCTGCAAGGGAGAGCAGGTCTCTACCCACCTCTGTGTGACATCCCCTCACATACCTGTATGTCACCAACATATCCTCTCTGAGTCTCCTCTTCTCCAGGCTGAAGAGACCCAGTTCCCTCAGTCTCGCCTCATACGGCATCCCCTGCAAACTGGCCACCAACCTTGTGGCCCTGCGCTGCACTGACTAACCTGGCTATATCCTTTCTGTAATGAGGGGCCCAAAACTGAGCACAATACTCCAGTTGCAGGCACAGCAGAGTCATATAGAGTGGTAGTAATACCTCTCTGGATCTAGAAGCCACACTTCTGGCTATGCCAACAAGGGTGGCGTTTGCCCTCTTAACCACCACATCACACTGCTGACTCATGTTTAGCCTGCAGTCAACCAGCACCCCAAAGTCTCTTTCACAAGTGACAGAGACCTGAGGGAACCCCGCTTGTCACTGGCCACCATCCCAATGATTCCCCACTAATGGTTACTTTCTGCTTTCGGTCAGTCAACCATGCCCTAATCCATTGGACAGTGCTTTGGTGTATCCCAAAACTCCTCAGTTTCTCCACCAGGATATCATGGGACACTTTGTCAAAGGCCTTGCTGAAATCCAGGTAAACCACATCCACTGCATCCCCTCCATATAGCCATCTCGAAACCTTGTCGCAGAATTTCACAAGGTTTGTCTGGCAGGACCTGTTTTCATGGAAACCGTGCTGTGTGGCTGCCAGCCTTCCTTCCCTATCTAGTATCACTAGATCTTTTGCTATTATGAGCCTTTCCATTGTTTTTCCTACAAGAAGACAAGAAGCTCCTAGTGCTGACAATTAAATGACTGTGTGCACCTGTTCTATCCTTCCTTCCTTAACAAGTTTTCTGTGCTTAGGGAAAAATACAGCAGAAATTATGGAAAAACATGGGAAGATTACATGTGGGAGACAATTCCATATAGAACCTCCATCAAATCATGTATTTTGAGTGAGGTAATGGCAAAATGAAACCTTGCCTGGAAACATCTTTTGACTTGCAACAGTTAATTCTATAAATTAGTTGCATTATTTCTGCTTTCCCGAGCTGGTGTCCTCCAGATGTTTTCCACTAGAAGTCAAACTGAGGTACTGAGTTTTTCCATCAGCCTCAGCCAGTAAAACCAGTGATCAGGGATAATAGTAGTTGGAGTTCAAAACAACTGGTGGCATCAGCTTGAGGAGTGCCACCTATTTAACTAATAATCCCTCTTATTGGTGATATGTTCTATGGATGTTTTGTGTCTTGTGCATAAGATTGTAAAATCCATTTTTAAATTAAATATTTGGAATATACTAATCTCATCACTTTTACTGGCCAAGTTCTCTTATGTGTCCCATCAGCATCTGAGGAGTGCTTGATGGAAACATGAGAAGGCCTTTTCATAGTTGTGTCCAAGTCTTTGGAACTCTCTTCCCAGGAGAATCAGTCCAATCCCCTCTCTGAAAGCATCATGTCATTATTAAGTTTTTGTATACATTTTATAAATATACATGTTTATATACCATATTAGGCATAATTATTTTTTCTGCCTTTGTCTTCTTACTGCTTTTGTTGTTGTTGCTTAGTGCCTCTGTTCTTTCTTAAGGTAGTTAGCTATAATGAGCTTTTTCCTATAAACTGGAACATAGCAAATTAAGTTTTAAGAAATAAAAAGTAAATAGTATGTCTCCTACACTTAGAAGCAATTGGGGTTTTTTCTTCTTTTTTTCAGACTGCCGGAAGATCACCCATGTTAACCATGTACAGACCAAAAGTAAGCCTGAAAGATAGGCAACAACTTTACAAGCTGATTATTAGTCAGTTGCTATATGATGGATATATCAACATTGCTAATGGTCTTATAAATGAGGTAAAGCCACAGTCTGTTTGTGCACCCTCTGAACAGCTGTTGCATCTTATTAAACTGGGTAAGTACTGATACCAAGCACAAATTTTAGATGTTCTTTTGAAGTAAATTTGAGATGCTATGCTAGTATGATGTTGTTAACATTGTTAAGACCCTGTTCTGGATGGCATGTCAGAACATCAGTAATAAAATATCTCTTCTCTGGATATTTATTCCCTACAATCTCATTATCCTAAAATAATACTAAATACTAAAGCGATATTAAACGAATAAACCTATATGTTCGTTTTTCCAGATGAAAAATATGTCACTAGGGATTACTGAAGAAAAACATTTTCTAGATCCAGACCTATTTATACATAGAGTAAAGCTATTGACGTTAGTGGGTCTGTTCTAAGTATGACTGAGTGTGGATCCAACCCCAACAATATGCTTAGAGTAGCATAGTAAACAATAATGCATATACATGGTGGCCTCCATTCCAGCTATCTGCTACACTGATATTGTAAAACTAGCTTAGCCTCTCAGATCTGACTGGTGAACTTGTAGTCATGCAATATGTTAACTCCCTGCTAGCCCTACCATCTCTTTAGACCATATGAATGAGAATTTATTAGGTCCCATGTGCCTCCATGAGAGATTAAAAGTTGTTTTAGTTTGTGGGAAGAGAGTTTGGAGAGCCTTAACATTGCACGGCTGAGCCCCTACTGTAAGATGAAAGAGTTGTTGGGAGTGCCATGGTACTATTTCTGGTGGTAATTGTACGAGTTTTATTATGTATTTTGAAATTTCCACAGGCTTGTAGTAAGAGAGCTATTTCTGAGATAATTTTACTCTTCCATTTGTATAAACAAGACCATTGCCTCACTCCAGATTTAAGGCCATACTTTAGGCTACCATTACATTAACATCTTCCCTTCCCCTATATCTCCCTTTCCATGTTCCTACTACCATTGTGTTTTCCCTAACTTCTTCTTTCATGATTTCAAGTTCTGGTTTACAAGCAAACTTTGTTACCCAGTTTGAATGCACAGCCAAATAGATTGCACAAGAGAGTAAGTGTGTTGGGAGGGTGGTGAGGTGGAGTAATTGGAATTCGGGGAAGAAAAAAAATCTTATAAGCCTAAGATTTCTTCTTATAACCCTAAAGCATAGTTTGGCATTACATTAGACGGAAGCAGACATCTAGTGTGCACCTGAATCTTTGTGGAGCTTTGTTTATGCACATGATAGTTTTTAAAGTTTTAGTCATTTTAATTGCTCAGTTAAGCACAAATCAATTGAAAACACACTAATACAAAAAGCATGATATTAAGGCTGTGGTAAGTCCAATCTTCCCTATGTGCCCTCCCACCCCTTAAGATCTGAGGCAGAGGCCCTGCTCAGGGAACACTCCTTGAAGGAGGTTAGGAGAATGAATACCAGGAGGAGGGCCTTCTCCGCAGTGACACCCTGACAGTGGAATGCACTCCCCAGAAAGGTTCGCCTGGCGCCAACATTATATTCCTTTCGGCGCCAAGTAAAAACCTTTTTATTTGCCCAGTATTTTAATATTTAAATATTTTAACTAGGTTTTTAATATGATCACTTTCAGTCACATTCTGTTATGCTTGTTATGTTATTGTATTTTCTCGTATTTATTATTATTTATTATTATTACTTATTTAGAATATTTCTATGCCGCCCCATTCGCAAAAAGCCTCAGGACAGCTTACAATAACATATTTATTTATGTTGTAAGCCTTCCTGGGATGTTTGTATAGGATGGGGAATAAATATTGTACATACATACATACATAAATATGATGGGCCAAACTTTTGAGCAGACATGCAAAGGAACGAGTTCTTAATGATCTAAAATATGTTTCTGAGGAGCAAAATTTGGGCTGCTATGCTGACTTTGCTTAAAGGCATGATACTGATATGAGATCTGAAACATCATTTGATACCACTTATCTCCCTCAGAGAACTCCTCAAAATAGACTTGCGAAACATTGTAGTAACTGGTGCCATCTTTCCTGTTTTTGGGAAAATAAGACTTTTGTATGCCCTTCCAGGAATGGAAAATGATGATAGTGCTGTTCAGTATGCCATTGGGCGCTCTGACACAGTAGCTCCTGGCACAGGAATTGACTTGGAGTTTGATGCAGATGTGCAGACTATGTCCCCAGAAGCTTCTGAATATGAAACATGTTATGTCACATCTCACAAAGGACCCTGTCGTGTAGCTACATACAGCAGAGATGGGCAGTTAATTGCTACAGGTTCTGCTGATGCTTCGATCAAAATTCTTGATACGGAGAGAATGTTGGCAAAGAGTGCCATGCCTATTGAGGTAAATATTCCAAACAGTAATCTGTCCATAAATGTTCATATTTTTGCGTTAATAGTTCTGTGGTCATTAGGATTAGCACAAGGACACAGAAAGCAGCATAGAGTGGACCTGTACCACAGCTCAGAGACTTAAGAGTGTGCAGCAGGAGGTACATGAAGGTAAGGTGAACTTCACCTCCTTGTTTCTCCTGCTGAGCAACTGTGGCACTTCAGAGGGTGAGGGAAGGAGACTGGAGTGCCATCAGGCAGGGAGTTCTGTGCTGTGCTGGGGAAACAGGACATGGGTCCCCAGCTCTGAGGTCATAGCTCTATTCTCAGATCTGGGAATCCAAAGTAACCTTTGGCCCCTTGGATGCAGTCTAGGGGCTGAAGGATTGTTCTCCTTGTGGTCATTAGCTTTATGCTCACAGTCCACTATATTTGAGGTTAGGATTGAGGGTCGTCTTATATCAAAAATGATTGTGAGGGCTTTCCACATCATTTGCATTGGGTTCCCTGAATTGCATGTAGTTCTTTTTCTCCCATTGTGAGTCCAGTTGTGTGGGATACGTTTAGGAGAACTGATATGTTGAAGGTCCTCCTTTTAGGCTTGGTTATATGAGACATTATATTTGTGTATGCAAAAATTTAACCTTTAGAAATGCGTTGTTTTAACATTTTGATCAGTTGTACAGTGAGTGGATGCACTGCCAGTCATATTGGAAACTGGAATAGATACAGTACTAGTTATAGTGAGAATTGGAGTGAATGCAATACCAGTCAAAATTGTAATTAAGTTGTTTCAGTGGATTATCCCTAGGATACAGGCACAATTATGCACACAGCTTTTTGGGCATGCTAGTATTACTACCTTAAAGGTGTTTAATATTCCACTAAAACAACATCCAAATAAAGCTTTGAATTGGACTGAAGGTAATATTTAAACAGTGCTAACACTGTAGTCTCTTCAACGAGTAAGTCCCATTAAAAACATGCTGATTTTTCAGTAAAGAACAGTCAACAGTGAAGAAGTCAGGAATGCAAGACAATGGATTCTAATAATTTGTTATGCACACATTTAACTGTTCAGAATCAGCTAAATGTTTACAATACAAAATGTAGCAGTATATTACAGTATATCACAGAAGTGAGTACACCCCTCACATTTTGTAAATATTTTATATCTTTTCATGTGACAACACTGAAGAAATGGCACTTTGCTACAATGTAAAGTAGTGAGTATACAGCTTGTATAACAGTGTGAATTTGCTGTCCCCTCAAAATAACTCAACACACAACCATTAATGTCTCAACTGCTCACAACAGAAGTGAGTACACCCATAAGTGAAACTGTCCAACAGTGTCAATATTTTGTGTGGCCACCATTCTTTTCCAGCACTGCCTTAACCCTCTTGGGCATGGCGTTCACCAGAGCTTCACAGTTTGCCACTGGACTCCTCTTCCACTCCTCCATGACAACATCAGGGAGCTGGTGGATGTTTAGAGACCTTGCGCTCCTCCACCTTGTGTTTCAGGATGCCCCACAGATGCTCGATAGGGTTTAGGTCTGGAGACATGCTTGGCCAGTCCATCACCTTTACCCTCAGCTTCTTTAGCAAGGCAGTGGTCGTCTTGGAGGTGTGTTTGGGGTCATTATCATGTTGGAATACTGCCCTGCAACCCAGTCTCCGAAGGGAGGGGAACACGCTCTGCTTCAGTATGTCACAGTACATGTTGGCATTCATGGTTCCCTCAATTAACTGTAGCTCTCCAGTGCTGGCAGCACTCATGCAGCCCCAGACCATGACACTCCCACCACCATGCTTGACTGTAGACAAGACACACTTGTGTTTGTACTCCTCACCTGGTTGTTGCCACACATGCTTGACACCATCTGAACCAAATAAATTTATCTTGGTCTTATCAGACCACAGGACATGGTTCCCCTAATCCACGTCCTTAGTCTGCTTGTCTTCAGCAAACTGTTTGCAGGCTTTCTTGTGCATCATCTTTAGAAGAGGCTTCCTTCTGGGACAACAGCCCTGCAGACCAACTTGATGCAGTGTGCGGCGTATGATCTGAGCACTGACAGGCTGACCCACCACCCCTTCAAACTCTGCAGCAATGCTGGCAGCACTCATACGTCTTATTTCCCAAAGCCAACCTCTGGATATGATGCTGAGCACGTGCACTCAACTTCTTTGGTCGACCGTGGCGAGGCCTGTTCTGAGTGGAACCTGTCCTGTTAAACCGCTGTATGGTCTTGGCCACTGTGCTGCAGCTCAGTTTCAGGGTCTTGGCTATCTTCTTATAGCCTAGGCCATCTTTATGTAGAGCAACAATTCTTCTTTTCAGATCCTCAGAGAGTTCTTTGCCATTAGGTGCCATGTAGAACTTTCAGTAACCAGTATGAGAGAGTGAGAGTGATAACACCAAATTTAACACACCTGCTCCCCATTCACACCTGAGACCTTGTAACACTAACGAGTCACATGACACCGGGGAGGGAAAATGGCTAATAATGCCCAATTTGGACAGTTTCACTTATGGGTGTACTCACTTCTGTTGTGAGCGGTTGAGACATTAATGGTTGTGTGTTGAGTTATTTTGAGGGGAATGCAAATTCACACTCTTATACAAGCTGTATACTCACTACTTTACATTGTAGCAAAGTGTCATTTCTTCAGGGTTGTCACATGAAAAGATATAATAAAATATTTACAAAATGTGAGGGGTGTACTCACTTCTGTGATATACTGTATGTCATGCTATGAAGATAGTACAGGCTTGCTGAGATTTCTGACTTACTGTTCACAAGCATGGTGTCAAATACCCCTTTCTGTACAATGGCTCTTCCCACCACTGGGAGAGACTGGATGAACAAGGAAATGAAACTTCTCATTATGTCCTGACCTAAACTTCTGGTTTGTTGCTCCTCTAACAGATTAGGTTCTAAAGATAAGCATTTCAAGTTGATTCCCTGTTTTTGTGTTGAAAGGTGCAGGCAAGAAACCAAATAATAAATGTGTAATAGTAAATATTCATGTATTTACTTGTCTCTTGGGTCAGGTAGCTAAAAGGCTATGATTACAATGCTGTCTATGTTTCTAAACATTTTCTTTAGGTTATGATGAATGAAACAGCCCAGCAGAACATGGAGAACCACCCTGTTATTAGGACTCTTTATGATCATGTGGATGAAGTGACATGCTTAGCTTTCCATCCAACAGAACAAATCCTTGCTTCTGGTTCAAGGGATTACACACTTAAATTATTTGACTATTCAAAGCCATCTGCAAAAAGAGCCTTCAAATATATCCAGGTTAGATACATTAATCATAATTCTATAAGGAATCCAAACAATAACTGGTTTGATGTGTGTAGGTTTTCACATGAAAGTTTTCCTGATGTCACCAAATGAAGTGCATCTATGTTTGCAGGATAAGGACCATGCTGGAGTTCACAAAAGCTAATTTGTAAGTTTCAGTCATAAGGACATAAATCAAGCTTATATATGTAGCCACTGAAACTACTTTGCTTTAAGCCTAACTTCATGTCATAACTAGCTTCCCCTGACTCTTTTTACCTGGAAAACAGTTTCAGATGCTGCATCTTAGAATGGGAAAGACTGCTAAACTTTTTCCTTCCAGCTTTTCCTTGGCTTAAAGTCTTATCACCACTAGGGTTATGACAACGCTTCATGGAATTTGTCCCTCTAGTATCTACAGACTTAACTCTCATGTTCTGCTGTGTCACAGAAAATGAGCTGAGCTGAGCTGAGCTGAGCTGAGAAAAGTCCATAAAGACTCATGAAACAAAGGCAGCCTTTTCTGCATCACATGTCATATCCAGCACAAACAAAGCCTGTTGAACATGCCATGGAAGAAGGATGCTGCTTGCCCAGCATTTAAATGGGGCTCAGTTCCTAATGAGTGCAGCATCAACTCAGACTTGCAGCCTCAAAAGAGTGGACTGGAGCCCAAGGAATCCAGTTCTCCCCTCAGAATGGATTCTTCACACATCCCTAATCACCACTGTTCAAACCTGCTTAGGGGGAGGGGAAAAATATGGAGTACCACTATCTTTTCCCACAAGGGAAAGGCAGTGCAGAGAAGAAGATTAAGCAATCACTCCCTACTCAAACTTACAGTCTGCTAGGACTGCTTATGGCTTTGTCCAAACCAAGAAGAAAACATGGAATGCCATGTTTCATCTGCTTTCATCCTAATGTGTAGATTGTAGAAAAAAATGAAGATGGATATCTGACTTTCCTGTCCACTACTCAAGAAGCATATATTGGGAGGGGCTATTGGTAGGTGGAGCCTCAGTTCAGGGGGAGAGTATCTACCCTGTTCTGGATGGGGTTGCACTCCTCTTAAGAATAGAATGCAAAACACCAGAATGCAAAACACCAGGTGGCATCTATGGCCAGGAGCAGCTTTTATCAACTGTGGCGGATATATCAGCTACATCCCTCTCTGATGGGCAGAATCTAGCAAGGGTAATCGATGCCCTGGTAACCTCACATTTGAACTACTGCAACACACTGTACATGGGGCTACCCTTGAAAATGGTCCAGAAACTTCAGTTGGTACAGAACAGGTCTGCCTGTCTGCTAAATGGGATGGGCCAGTATGAAGATATAACCCCTCTTCTTTATCACCTGCTCTGGTTACAGTTGAAGTCTGGGCTTGCTTCAAGGTGCTCACATTAACATATAATTCCCTAAATGGTTTAGGGCCTGGATATCTAAAGGAATGCCTCCTCCCATATATACCTCCCTGGACCCTAAGGCCTTCTGTGGATGTCCTTCTCTGCAAGCCACTGCCAAAAGAAGTAAGGGAGGTGGCTGCGAGGGGAAGAACCTTCTTGGCTATGGTGTCCCATCTATGGAATTAATTCCCCAGGGAGGTGCACCTGGCACTGATACAGTCTTTTTTTCAGTGCCAGGTTAAAACTTTTTATTCTCCATTATTTTAATTGTTGAACAAGATGGTTATGCTTTTAGTTTGGTTTTTATTTAGATACAGTTTGATTGTTGTGGACAATGTCTATAGTTTTTTTAAACTGATTTTGTTATTCTTGAATTGTTATAATTATTGTGTTGTTATGATTGTGTTTATGCTGTAACTGGGAGAGCATTGCTATAGAACAGTCTATATAAACTTTAAATAACTAGATAAATGATATATCCTGCCTTGAAAAATGGTCACCAAGGTAGACAGCAGTAAGCCTAGCAGAGCTGGTAGGGTGTAGTTAGAATGTTGGACTGCAGCTTGGGAGAACCAGGTTCTAGTCCCCACTCAGTCACGGGGCTGAAGTTTACTTGGTAGTTCTGGGTCAGTCATTGACTTCCAGGGCAACATAACTCACAAATTGTTTGTGAGGATAAAATGGAGAGGAGGACCATGGGAGCCACTTCGGGTTCCTTGCAGGAAGGAAAAGAGTGAAATAACAGTGTAATAATAAATACATATTAAATTTTAAGAAACAAAGCTGTTCTCAATCACCACCAGTTTTTGGTGCATGTTATCTGTCTTGTGGGAGGAAGAATAAGATTTCAAATGTATGAAGTGAGGAGTACTTTGTGCACACTACATCTTTACAATCACTTCCTTTTTCTTCAAAGTGTTGTTAAGTTATAATAGGGTCACCACTCACCACTTAGGCATTTTCTACTTAGTAGCCCCCTTTTTTCTTTTCAAATCTTGTATTGAGCTATATCATTTTGCTTTGTGTCCTTTCTAGCTTGTTCAGAAAGCAGTGTCCTTTAATGCAAATAATTTTATTCTGTGCTTTACACAGCAGCTGATACTAATTAATATCTGGATGAGTCTTAACTGGATAATGCCTTTGAATGTTAACTGTGTCTTTTCAAATAAACAGGAAGCAGAAATGCTGCGTTCAATCTCTTTCCATCCTTCTGGAGACTTCATACTTGTCGGAACCCAGCATCCTACCCTGCGACTATATGATGTCAATACTTTCCAGTGCTTTGTATCTTGCAATCCTCAAGATCAGCACACTGATGCCATATGCTCAGTTAATTACAATGCAAGTGCTAACATGTATGTAACGGGCAGCAAAGATGGATGCATCAAATTGTGGGATGGCGTTTCAAATCGTTGTATTACTACTTTTGAGAAAGCACATGATGGGGCTGAAGTCTGTTCTGCCATTTTCTCCAAGAATTCCAAGTATATTCTATCAAGTGGAAAGGACTCTGTAGCTAAACTATGGGAAATATCTACAGGAAGAACACTAGTCAAATATACAGGTGAGTAAAGGCTGATCCAAAGAACATATTTCTTTTTCCATAGGCTATGCATTTAATTAAGTGCATGTGGTATTTTATACCGATACTTGTTTGGATTTTGGCTTTGTGTAAAACCAAACTGCTTTGGGTGTAATCATCATTTTTCCATGTGATTGCCTGGTCTAAAATTAAAAGGTTGCTTTGTGGACCTCTTTGCATGTAATCATCTTTGAGTTTTATTAGCACAAAAGCGTAATTTTGATAACCAGTAAAGTGCTACACTGGAACTCAAGGAAACCTCAGTATGTTGCTTGCCGCTGAGCCAAGTGGTGGTCGAGTATCTTAATGAGGATATTAGTGGACTGCTTCTTGGGATCATTATGATGAAAATGGCAGAAAACCTAGATGCTATATGAAGTCTATAAATGCACCTATAAGTAACTCCAGAATTTCTCAGTCCATAAATCAGTAATATTTTAATACACCACTAAGCACTTCATGTCTTCTAGATATAGGAGAGATACAATGTATCTATGATTTTTTGAGAGTATGCTTGTGTTCTTGCATGGGTCAAGCATCCTCTACTTGGAAGATAGTCTTTGTATTGGAATATTGCTCTTCTGGTTTTTCTTTTCATATGCCTGGCCCAGTAAAAGCACCATTAAAATGTAACACTGGACTTTCTCTACTTAGTACTTTTCTACTTCTCCAGTGGGAGTTTCTGCTACAGTAATCAGAAACCAACCATTTGAGCTGACTTATATAGGAACTGAGAAGATGATAAGGTTTGTCTTGTAATTTAAGGATTATAATATGTTAAACCAGCAGGGTGCAGCCAAGTCCTGGCATACAGAAAATTGTCTTTCATTGTTATCTGCCTCTTTGACAAAGAAACTGGAGGAAAGGGTAGATCCCCTTAGCATTCATCCTGTTGTTCCCTTTCTGAGTAAGCAATGCATAAGTATAATGTTATGTTACTTTCTCATTAGATAGATTGTTACCTGTCAAGCCATTTTAATTGGTACGCTTTATTTTGTCATTTTTACCAAGCCAGTATTTCATAATACTCACTTATGCAATAAGCAGGAAATATTTTGATTTGCAAAAGGTTTGTGTACAACCGTTATTTCAGTCATTTCATTTCAAATCATTAGAGTCTGTCTATTTCAGTGAGATTGCCAGCATTCTTATTCATGGACATCATCATAAACCAGTGCATCTAATAGACAGAACTCTTTTGATACTGTCTGTATATACACAAATATGTATAACTAAATTCATTATATACGATATGTATAATGAATCATGTTCCATTAAATTTTGGTACTTTCTGGTATACATTTGCATTTCTATCTCAGTTCTCAGAAAAATTGAAAGTTATGTGTAACTACAGGTAACCTATACTTGGGAAGCATTAAATCTTAGCTTTGATGAAGGCCTTGAGACAATCTGAAAAAAGGGAAAGAATTTGTGTACCAGCTAATGGATAGTATATAGTTGGTGTGAATACTTAATTTCAGAAGCTGCCAGTAGATGTGTGAATGTCTAAGCCTTAAATTATTGATAATCTGGATTTTCTGTTTCAAAGGTTATAATCCATTGACAGGGCAATCCTGTATATGTCTATTTGGAAGAAAGTCCCAGTGATTTACCTAGAATTTAGATCCAAGTTTATGTGTATACTATGAGGTTTCAGTCTTAGCTGATTGTTTCACTGATATAAATTACTAGATGTACTTAACAATTTGATTAGCAGGGTATCTTATTAAGAAGTTTATGACCGAGTTAGAACATGTTAAGGCATAATCTAGAGGTGGGTTACCAGTATTGCTACATATTTCTCTCATAGCCGTATGAGCAGGGAAAATATATTTCTCCTCTCTCACATATTATGCAAATAATGTCTTAAATATTATGTATGTTTTGATGGCAAGTGTAGAATAATGTGAATTCAAAAAATTGCCACTAATTCACTATTCCTGACTGTGATCTTGCACATACCTCTTTCAGATCTCCAGCAACAATGGACCCAAATGTATTTCTTAAAATCACAGTTCTTTAGTACCTTGCCCCAATTCATTTTACCTCACAGGCAAGCTTGCTGTATATTTTAAAAACACCTTTTAACAATGCTTCATCTTTTAACAAGAATCATTTGATGTTCAAATTAGGGTTGTAATAACATTGTGTCTTGGACAGATTTTTCAGTTGTGTTTATACTAGAAGATGGTCATGCGCCAATTTTGTGTAACACACATCCTTATTTCATCTGGAATCAGTTTTTCTAGATCTTGTTATTGTGATAAAGCTAATGCCCATTTTTTGGTCTGCATTACATTTCAGTGTAGGTCTACAAGGGCCTGGTGTTTTGCTATCCTTAATTCTCTTACGGTTTGCCTTACTTTCTTTACTGTCATTAGCTGGTTCAGTGTATTCCTTTCCTCATCTGAAATTTTAGGAAACTGGACATTAGAAAGAAAGGCATCAGGTTATTTTTCTTGGGGTGAGTCAGACCTGTGTAACTATGAATAATAATTAATTCTGCCCAATTAATTCTGTTAGATTTTGATCAGATAGAACAGGAATATCTCAAATCTATAAATATGCCAGTTTAAATTTGTAAATGAAAATCTTCATCAAGGTGCATAAGGACAGTCTCATATGCTTTTGTATCTAGAAGATTGATATCCAGTCTGGGGGCAAATGTCCTTGATGATCTTTTTCAAAGGATCACTTGCTGCCAATAGATCACTTTGCTTATCAAGCTACAATATTAGATGCACAGGAGCAGAACATTAAAAACTGTTCATTGTGAGTGAGGAAAACTGTAACATCTTTGAAAGAGGTAATCATTTCTGCTTTGTTAAAAACAAGCAAGCAAACTAAAACTCATCTTGATGCTGAACTGAGAAACATCAGTGCTGAACCAGAGTCTTGTACCTCTTGTTAACTAGATGAGGGGAATTATCCAAAAACTGAAAGTCAGTAGTAGTCTGTTGATGAATCTGGTCTGACCTGTTTTAATCAGTCAGTGTGCATTAGAGAGGAATCATCGATAATCAGGTGGAGGTTGATGCTCAGAGAGTATGTTACCACTTGGCATGTGACTGATCAACTGCTCCATTACTTGGAAAGCAATGATCTAGCAAAGCATCATTCACATTTTCATAGCAACTGATTTGATCACTGCAACGTGCTCTACAGGGGTAGCTATCAGACACCATACAGCAGCTTCAGTTGTGCAGATGGCTGCAGACTGACTCCGGCTCGGACGAGCAGTGCAGAGGAAACATAAGGACCTGATACCGAGCCATTCCACCATCTGCCTGTTTGCTTCCAGATACAATTCGGAGCATTGAGGCAGCCCTTGGAAGCCCTAAATGGCCTGATCCCATGAGCCGGATCATCCAAGGAAGTCCTGCTCCCAACTAGTATTAATTTGCAGGAGGGTATTTTCTTTGTTGACAAGGAACTGTGGGACATGTAAAGGATTTGTTCCAGTCTATGCAAAAATGTCTTTTTATGAACGCCCTTACTAGCTTTTTGTTCATTACTAAGGACATTTTTATTATTGAATTTTGGGAATCAAGTACTTGCCAATGTGAGTCAGGTGGCAAAGTAGAATACAGTTTATAATGAAGTCTGCTATCTTTATATACTTACTTTGAAACATTGGAGCCTTTTTAATGGTATACGTATGTTGCTACACCTGCAGGAGCTGGTTTGAGTGGACGCCAAGTTCATAGGACACAGGCGGTCTTCAACCACACAGAAGACTATGTGCTTCTTCCGGATGAAAGAACCATCAGCCTGTGCTGCTGGGATTCACGAACAGCAGAACGAAGGAACCTTCTTTCCCTAGGGCATAATAGCATAGTTCGCTGTATTGTCCACTCTCCGACCAATCCTGGCTTCATGACGTGCAGTGATGATTACAGAGCTCGATTTTGGTACCGAAGATCAACCACAGACTAAAGCTAAATCTGAATTCTATTCCCTTTAAATATATATATCAGAGTGACTTCAGTGCACATAACCCTTAAATTCAAAGGCTTATGTACATCCTATTCCAGGTGGAGATGATCTCCATCACACCTTGTACCAAATATTTTCTCTAGACAGCCGTGTTTTGCCATCTAGATTTATTTACAGGGACAGAAGGAGGCCAGGACACCTGCTGGAATCAGTGTAGGTCAGTAGCCCCAGCCTCCTCCCCTCTCTGAATGCCCCCTTTCTCCCACTCTGAGGCCCAGTTGCGACCTCTGGGGGCAACCAGTGCTGTTCTTTCAGGACCATCTGTGAAGGGGTTGGGGCAGTGGCCTGGCCTTCAGAGTCCCTTGAAGCTGGGACTTTGATGACTCTTGTAGCCTTTAAAGCAATGTTTTGGGGCCATAACTGTGTTTTTACTGCAATTAGTTTTAAGTAAAACCCTCCCTAAGAAGAAGGATGATTTTAAAGTTATGTCCATATATTGAAAACTGGAACTACTTAAAATGGTTTTTGATCCCTTCTCTAGCTTCTCGCTCTTACTAGAAAAGTTGGCCTTCTGTTTTTTAAAACTTAATTTTATTTGATATATGCTGTTAGTTCTGACTTCTGCTGTGCTTTTGTGTTTTACAAAATTATTTAGATAATATAGATCTATTACTGTAAAGTTCTCATTAAAACAAAGTCTTTAATGCTGTCTCTTAGTTTTCCCATAATTAACTATTAGTTTATTTCTGCTTCATAATTTGTATACAGAATATTTAAATAAGGATTATAAAATATAGTAATGTCTGAAAGCCAGTGATTTGCTAGGGCCTTGTCTTAACCATGCCCCTGGTTATACTTTTCATCCCTGATCTGAGGTGGGTTTGAAGGTAAGAATGTTAAGAAGAAATCAGTGTATTACTGATATACATGAAGCATCTCAGCCCCAGTGACAAATCTTCAGCATACAAATGAGTTACAAATGAGCAGAGCAAGGAGGTCACGGTAAAGATTCTTTCCTTGTTTTGTATAATATATAACTAAACTGTAAGCTAACAACTGTCAGTAAATTGTTCCCCTTCTGCTAGTAAACAACCTTTTCCCTGGTAAACAAAGACAATAACACCAGTTAAACAACAAGAAAGTAAAAATCCAGCATGGACATGAGAGCTATCCAGTGTAATACACTGTCACATATATGGCTGCCAGCTTTGTAGTTGTGTGCTGGGTGTAATGATGTCCTGCCTCTTAGGCAATAAATTCTTTCCCTCAAATCCAAGGTTACTGACCTGGAAAAATTAAGAGGCAGAGAAGTTGGCTGATGAGACCTTCAAGAACCAACAAAAGAATCCCATTCCTTGAGTGACAGCTTCTCTGATGTCATGGAAAATGATTGTCTTGGGGAAGCAGGACATCATTCTAAGGAAGAGGGAAATGATCCCCTAGAACAGGGGTCGGCAACCCACGGCTCCGGAGCCGCATGTGGCTCTTGAATGCCTCTGCTGTGGCTCCATTGCATGCGTCACAGCTGCTGCTGATCCACGGCCCGTGCCGGCACAGCGGCATGGTGGCCGCCACTGTCAATCCGAGGTCCGTGCTGGCAGCCACCGCCAATCCAAGGCCTGTGCCTTCACAGCGCTTGGATAAATCGAAGAAAAGTTTCTGAAGAAAACCAAACGTTTAATGGTACGTGGGTAGATTCATTTGCTGTTACTGCTGACAAACTTACGGGGTTTGCTGTTTAATGCATGCAGCCCTTTAGCACTGACTTTGACTCTGCAGGAAGCTGTTCTCCTATTCAAAATATATGAAAGTCCTACTGGTTTATAATGTAAGATTAAAAATAACAGTTTTTAGTGACTGAACAAGAGCTGCAGCTAAATCATAATGAAGATATACATAGAATTAAGGTAAAAAACGATACATGCAGTGTTATCTTCAGTTTAGATGTCAAAAGGGTTTTGCGGCTCCCAGCATTTTCTTTTGTGTGGGAAATGGGTCCAAACGGCTCTTTGAGTGTTAAAGGTTGCCAACCCCGGCCCTAGAAGGACCAAATTCTTCGGAAGACAAGTAACTGTCCTTTTACACTGAGGATGTGCCTCTGTGGGGTGGAGGGCTTGCAGTAATGACAGAAGTACATCTCCCCCACCTTACCTCTCCAGTGGACTTAGATGAAACCTTAGAAACATGGTCTTTTATGCAGTTTTACAGATTTACAAACAGCATAAATCAAAGTAATTATTCCTTTGCTCCGTTGGAATAGCATCTGCCCATGTGAAGTGCTGAATCTAAATTGGAACATTCCCCTCCTTCCTTTTTTGAACATTATCTGAATGGCAGGAACAGCAGACAATATTTAGTTGGTCCACTTTCTTAGCCTGATGCCTCCTGATAGGGTCTAAGAATTCCCCTTGATCTCTACCCCTCTGTTTTAAACAGAGGTGGTTTGGTTTGGTTCAAATCCATTAGGTTCCCAAGCTCTGTCTGAAGGTCTCATATGGTGACCTTGACAGTTCAGAGGCCTTTCTAATGCCAGTGTTTCTAATTCCTTCTACTGCAAATCTGTAAGAGTTGCTAAAGGGACTGTAATCTGGGAGGGCTGGACGTCTTCTCTACAGGTGGGTTATGAATGAGTTCCATTCCTGAGAACAGAAAATTGTCTTTAAGTCACATCACTGTGTAAGTCAGATTATGTAGTCAGCTGTGCACATTTGCAGGTATTAGGAGTGCAAGACCTCATGAAAGTGGAAAAACAGTTAACATCTCTATTCCTCACTCCAGCCCAAACTCACCAGCATCTCCTCTTGGCAGCAAGGAAACACTGGATGGGCGGGGCAGGAAGCCATGCTTTGGAGGCCTCCCTCTCTCCCCTTTCATTTCCATTCTATGATGATGACAATTTTCCACAGTAATTTTAAAAAATTAATAGGCGTTAGGTAGCCCAATGTGTCCTGCACAAGACATCAAGAATAGGCATTATGGTAGCTTGTTTGCAAGCAAGGGTTGTTTATAATTCAGACGTTCATAACTTGGGGACTGCCTTTAATAGTTGATTCAATCATTAGACAAATTCCTGGGTTTCTGATGGGCATGTAGGCCACAAGGTAAATTGTTTGCCTAGTGGGAAGGTAGCAGATATCAAGCACCATCTAGATAACTTTGTAGTTAGTACTGAGCTAGAGTCAGTGGCTGCCTCTGTGTTGGTACCAGTGATGTGAGAAAGTGTATCCATGAGTTTCTGGGAGCCAAATGTATGATGTTAGGTAGAAAGTTGAAATCCAGGATTCCCAAAATGGATGTCTCTGAAATGCTATCTGTTCTATGTTCAAGGCAAGCCAGACATGCAAAGCTGAGAAGTCTCAATGCATGGATGCGATGGTGGAGCAGGGAGGAGAGGATTGGATTGGTTAGTCACTGGAGAAAATTTTGGGACAAGGCAGACCTGTACAAGGTGAATCAGCTCCACTTGAACCAAAATAGAACCAGGCTGCTGTCCAAACTAAAAAGGTGACAGAGCAACTTTTAAATTGTACCCTGGGGAAACGCCAACAGGAGCTGAGAAGCATCCAGTTTGGGTGAAGCTATCTATGGGGGATGAAGATGAAAAAGTTTCTGTTTGCTCAAATGTAGAAGGGGAAGAAAGGCCATGAGTGTATGGTGAAGCATGATAGCCAAAGATGCCTAAGTGCTGGAAGAGAAGCTGCACACAACAGAGATACCTGGAGAAAGTCAGTCTGTATAGGTGTTTTCTGTGTGAACGTCAGAAACTTCCAAGCCAAAATAGAGCATTGCAGTGTCTGGTTTTCAAGGGGAACCTAGATATGATGGGATAAACCTAGTGGAATGCAGAGAACCAGTGGCATGCATCACCTCTGGATATAAACTCCACAGGACAGAAAGGAGAAAGAAGTGTTGCTCTTCACACCGAAGAGGGCATGGAGCCCAGCAGACTTGAAAACCAAGCACAGAAGTACTGTAAGTGACAATACCTAGTTCCAGATCTTAATTTAGCACTAGGAACATGCTATCGGTCTGTAGACCAGAGGTCGGCAACCTGCTGCTCCGGAGCCGCACATGGCTCTTGAACCCCTCTGCTGCGGCTCCATCACTCAAAACGTGCCAGCACAGCTGCTGATCTGCTTGAAGCTCCACTCAAGAACGCAGCACTAGCTAGTTAAGTAAATCAGCTAGTTAAGTAAATCGCTACATTCCTCTGCTAAACAAGCTTCCTGCAGGCTCTCATGTTACACGAAATGCTGCTGAAAAGATTCTCTTTGTCCCAATGTAATCTCCATCTGAATGTTAAAAGCTGCGCTTGGGACCTGTCACAATTCACTTCACTTGACTGTTTATCTGCTAATCAGTCACTAAATACACATATCTGCACCGGTGCCAATTTACTGAGCTTTCCCCCCTCCAACCATGGATAAATCTGAAGAAAAGAGAAGTTTCTGAAGAAAACCAAACATTTAATGGTACATGGGTAGATTCATTTGCTGTTACTGCTGACGAACTTATGGGGTTTGCTGTAAGTTCAATGCAGACAAGACGGAGGTCCTGTTGGTTGGCGGATCGGGCTTCGGAGAGGGTGGACTTAACCTACTCCTGAATGGGGTTGCACTCCCTCTTAGGGACAAGGTCCGCAGCCTGGGAGTGCTCCTCGACCCGGAGCTTTCATTGGAAGCTCAGGTGACAGTGGTGGCGAGGAGCGCTTTCCTCCAGCTTTGGCTGATTCATCAGCTGCACCCCTACCTGGAGTACGACTGCCTGGCGACGGTGACACACGTGCTGGTGACTTCCAGCGCGTCTTGACTTCTGTAACGCGCTTTACGTGGGGCTACCCTGGAAGACGGTCCGGATACTTCAATTGGTTCAAAATAGAGCTGCCAGGCTGCTGACGGGGACTGGGCGTTATGTTCACATGACTCCAGTCCTCCGTCAGCTTCACTGGCTTCCCATTGAAGTCCGGGCCCAATTCAAGGTGTTGGTGATGACCTATAAAGCCCTAAACGGCTTGGGTCCTGGTTACCTGAAGGAACGCTTACATCCATATATGCCCGCCCGCCCCTTGAGATCTGCGGGAGAAGCCCTTCTCCGGGAACCCTCTGTGAAAGAAATTAGGAGGGTAGGTACTCGGAGGAGGGCTTTCTCTGCGGTGGCGCCCAATCTATGGAATGCGCTCCCCAGAGAGGTCCGCCTGACGCCGTCATTATTTGTTTTTCGGCGCCAGGCGAAGACCTTTTTATTTAAGTGTCATTTTAATTGTTAACAGTATTTGCTTATTTTATCTGGCCAGGGCGACTTATTTTATATTGTTACTTATTTTATATTGTTATTTTTATATTGTTATTTTTGTATTTTACTTCATTTTGTGAGCCGCCCCGAGGCTTCAGCGAATGGGGCAGCATAGAAATGTTTTAATAAATAAATAAATAAACTAAATAATGCATGCAGCCCTTTAGCACTGACTTTGACTCTGCAGGAAGCTGTTCTATTCAAAATATATGAAAGGAGTCCTACTAGTTTATAATGTAAGATTAAAAATAACAGTTTTTAGTGACTGAACAAGAGCTGCAGCTAAATCATAATGAAGATATAGATCTACTTCTTTGTTTTAAGAAGATTCTTATAAAAATTCCAGCAACATGATTACATTGGGAGAGGGATGTTTGTTCAATATTTCGCCACGTGATAAAAGGATGAGGGCACACAGAAGCAGACGGCATTTTTGGTTTGCTGCAGGTGGCATGTTTGGTTTGCTGCTAGTGGATAATATAAGTTCGGCTTTTTATTTCATAAATACAAGGAGGACTCAGATAGACATTGAGTATTGTATTTGAAAGTAACTTTCAACCCAGCGTCTTTTTTTTCAGAGTTCAAAATGTTTTTGTTGCATGCAGAAATAAAAATTTGTTTTCTCTGTAGTAGTTCATTGATTTCATAAATGCAACACACTATAGTTTTTTATACATAGTATAAAGGTAAGAAACTATATATGCAGTGTTATCTTCATTTTAGATGTCAAAAGGGTTTTGCGGCTCCCTGTGTTTTCTTTTGTGTGGGAAATGGGTCTAAATGGCTTTTTGAATGTTAAAGGTTGCCGACCCCTTCCCTAGACCATAACATTCAGGTTTTTTTGAGATAGAGAAATCAGGGAGGCCTTAAAAGGTGGGTGGGGGGAAACAGTCCTGTAATAATTGGGTGACTTAGCTACCCCAACATCAACCAGATAAGTGTATGTTCCAGTTCCTACAAAGAGGCTGCATTTCTCAATGCCCCAGGTGACTGTGCCCTAAAAGAGCCGGTCATGAAACAACCAGGGACCACAGTGTTATCAGTGGTTGTATAGGTATATATATAAGATTGCTAGGGAAGTCCAGAACAATCACATTAGAGCAGCCTTTTCTAAAATGAGGGAACTGATAAAAGGAAGACGAAAGAGGGAGTCAGGAAGCTTGACTGTCTTCAAAATGCCTGGAGATTACTCCATACACACCATAGTAGAAGCTCAGATAGTATGTATGATGCAAGTTAGGAAAGGTAGCACCAAGTCCAAGAGGTCACTAGCATGATTAATGAGTAGTGTGTAGGAAACAGAAGGCTTCCCACAGAAAAACGGAAATGGCAGCTGTAAAAAGAGATGTAAACGAACCTGTGCACACTAAGGGATGCAAAAATGCCTTTTCAGGAGTATATCACTATCAACTTCAAGCCCAACAATAAATGAATTTGGTATCAGAAGCAAGAAACCCATTAGAAGGTTAATTTGATCATCTGGTGATGATAAACTTAAAGGAGTACTGATGTGAGGGATAAGGAGATTGCAGAGTGCCTGAGCTGATTCTTTTCATCTGTGTGGACTGCAGAAAGCAAATGACAAATACCCATGGCTTTCCTGATATTTTCAGGAAAGGAGTCTGAGGAACCAAGGATCTATATTGGGACCAAAGCTTCTCAATTTTCTCATAAATGATTTTGGATGAACAGTGAAGTGGCAAAGTTTGCTGATGATACCAAAGTTTACGGTGGTCAAAACCGAAAGGGATTGCGAATTGCTCCAGAAGGATATTTCCAAACTGGGAGATGAGGCCTCAGTGGCAAATCTGATTCAGTGTAAACAAGGGTAAAGTGATGCATGTACAGGTGAAAAATCCCAACTTCCAAGAATACATTGGTAGGGAGGATCAGAGCAGCAGCTAAGCTCTGGAAGTTGCCTCATGTGACAGTCCTGTTATTCTCACAGGATCTCCTGCATATAAATTAGAAAATAAAACAAAAGGAGGTGGGCGTAGAGAGCAGCTGGTCACACTCTTTCTCCTGCTGCTTGCTGTGCTATGAGCCTGGCTTAACCAGATGTGCCCAGCAGCAGGGAGATAGGGTAAAAAGAACGGGGGGAGGGGGGAATAGTCAGGGATCATGGATAAAAAAAAACTATGAAAACACTTTGTTATCTTACGCCGTTGTTATATCTGTTTCTCATATTGAGGCACATACGTTGTCCATAGAGCCAAAATGGCATTATACATGGACTCCAGGAAGCTATGAGCTAGGCTGGGAAATCCCCAGGTTTGCAGAAGTACAAAAAAGGGGTCGGGGAGGGAGAGGGATAAAAGCATAGAAGAAGTGCCAGACCAGGTGTGCTCAGAGATGGAAAGCTGGGTGAGAAGGGGAATGATATAGAATATCCTGGAGGGAGGCTGGAAGAAGAAACAGGAGAAAAACCGGAAGAAGAAACAGTCCATACCGCAACGTTTTGCGCACACGCCCCCCTTGTGATAGAGTTCCTTCGAATTCCTCATGTACCTCAGCCTCTCCAAACCTGAGCTCTTCTAATAGGATTCAGACCTATCCACATCAGCATATTGGAGGGGAATGAGCCAAAAGGGGACAGATTTTATCGAGCATGTGGGAATTAGCTGGATGCTGCTTCTGATCCCTCCTCCTTTGTCTTCTCTACATGAGACTGAGTTTGTCCCCTAGGGGGCTCTGCAGTGACTTGGGCCTGCTGTGGGGAAATAATAAAGTTACCATAACTGTGCTGCATAGGTCCTACTATATTTGGTAGCAATTACTTCCAAAAAGTAGGTTATTATTACTATTGCTATCAGAATTTCTTACAGCAGGTTTGTAAGGAAAAGCAGCAACTTTATTCATTGTTGTTGTAAAATATTAACAAAGCAAAAACAAAGAGGAAAAACCTAACTATAAATGTTTCTATGTTTCTAAATCTGTGTAGATATTTTTCAATGTGTGCATATGCATTCTTTCTGTATGAGAAGATATGGCTTTGTTGTTGTTAGATGCAAAGTTGTGTCGGACCCATCGTGACCCCATGGACAACATTCCTCCAGGCCTTCCTGTCCTCCACCATCCACCATCTCTCAGAGTCCAGTAAAGTTCGCCCTAACTGCTTCAGTGACTCCATCTAGCCACCTCATCCTCTGCCGTCCCCTTCTTCTTTTGCCATCTATTGTTCCCAGCATTAGGCTCTTCTCCAGGGAGTTCTTCCTTCTCATTAGGTGGCCACAGGATTTGAGTTTCATCTTCAGTATCTGGCCTTCTAAAGAGCAGTCAGGGTTGATCTCCTCTAGGACTGATTGGTTTGATCTCCTTGCAGTCCATAAGTAGTGCATATGTAAGCTTCAACTAAAGGAGGCCAAATATCCAAACACTCTGCATTCATCAAAAGTGGACCGAACACTAAAAATGTGGAAAAGGTCAAAGGGGATGCTGTGGTTGGCCTAGAGTGACCCACTCAACCAAGCTATACTGACTTCATCTTACCTGGAAAAAGAAACCTCACTTACGCAAGTGGTTCTCTGCTTAAAAGACCAAGACACCAGATGCTGGCACTGTAATACAGATGATCTGGATGGGGTCCTCTGAAGTCCAAGTGCCACCACTTAGCCAATCTCTTGTACAAAGTAAGTCCAACTGAGGGTCAATGTGGTTCAGTGGTTAAGAACAAGGGACTGGGAATCAGGAGATCCGGGTTCTAGTCCCCACTCAGCCATGGAGCTCACGGGGTGAATTTGAGCCAGTCACTGCTTCTCAGGCCAACCTACCTCACAGGGTTGTTGTGAGGATACAATTGACAATTATATAAGCCACCTCAAGATCCTTGGAAAGGAAAAACGTGGAATCTAATATAAAAGAAAAACTGACTGGGACTTCCCTCCAAGTAGATGTGATACCCAAAAATGCACTGCAAACATTTTACATACTTCCTTCTCCCCTTTCTTCCAAAAAGTGGCTCGTGTAAACTGTGCTTTATACAAATTGTAAATCTAATTAGATTCTATCTCCCAATTTCTGACCTGATGCATTCCCAGCATGGTACACAGTTGAATGAGTGGATCACAAAGTTTACATCAAGGGAAAAACTTGCAGTTAATAATCTGGTCAAATTCTTATAAGATGTTCAGCAGCCATTCTGTTCCTTGAATTGACTGTCTAAAATAGGAAGTACAGGAAGATGAAGCAAAGCATTTTTTTCCTGTCTGTGGTTATTTGCAGAACAACTGTAACCAGTCATAAGAATTAAACTCATTTTTAAACTAGATTCCCTCCTCTGCCTGAACTCTTTCCACTGACAGGCTTGCTGCCTTGAAAATTCCTTTTTCTAGGAACATACCTTTCCACTCCTGGCAAATTTTAGCGGATTCAATTTTGGGATCTTTTTCTAAGAAATCATTTCTGGCCTACTTTGCAAACCTAACTACCAATTTGATGATGATACAGGAAGTGGTGCCAGTTATTGGTAACAACAATGAATAGAAGCGTTGGAGCCAGCATGCTTACAAAGGTAGGAAGTTTCGCTTTGAGTAAGAAATGCTGCAATAAGATTTAAGAGTTGTGCTGTGCAATCCTATGTAAATCTATTCTGATACATCCTGCATTGAACTCAATAGGGCTTGTTCCCAAGGATGCGAATAGTGCCTATAATTTTGTTCATAGAATTCCTGGTAGTAAGCCCATTAGACCCAGTGGAATTGACTTCAGGGTAAATTGGCACAGAATTGTACTGTTCTGCTTGCAGTCCTATACTTACTAGAGATTAAGTTCCACTGAAATTACTTCTGAGTACCCTTACATAGGATTGCTTTGTATGGTTGGGAGAATTGTTGAGGAATTCTAAATCATGATTTTACCACAAATGCTTTCAGAAATGAACTGGGATAGAATGACCTGTCCTTCTTCATCCTCTTCGTTGAAGGCTGGTGAAAGTCAGTGAATCAATTTTCTTTGTGTGGGTATTTTTTTTTTTAAACATTTTTATGCCACCCCATTCGCCGAAGCCTCGGGGCGGCTTACAACAATAAATAAAAGTAATTATAATATAAATTACAATAAATATAAACATTAAAAATCCAAAAATACAATATAAAATAAGCCGCCCTGGCCAAATAAGATCAAATAATACTAACAGTTAAAATGCCGCTTAAATATTTCTTGAGCATACCATTTCTTTGAATGATTCACCTGATTATTTCAGAAAGTGACAATACAAAATGTATCACATAGATAATGCTCTTTATGAACTGAACCGGGTATGGGGGAGCTGTGTCTGAAAGGGCATCAGGTAGGAGGAGAGTCTTTGAAGTCTGGAATGTTAAGGAAAGTTGGAAAGAAAGCTGAAGGGGACTTGGAGGAACAATTGAGATGATAATTTGGTTAATTGACAAGTTGGAAGAAGGAGGCAGTTCTAGTACACACATCTTACATTTACTGTGAAACTGTTCACAGCCCAACAGATAAACACCCAGGTTCTTGTCAATCCCGAGTAAATGGATGCATGTCAGTGAAGCTGCAGGTAATGCTTTTTCACACCTATCACGTACCTAGTGCTACATGGTGACGCATGTGCATCTCTTTTAAACCTAGTGTGTTGGTCACAAAGCTTGCCACCTTTACTTGAGAAAACAGTGTACATGACAAAGCTGTCCTGGAGCTAAGCCGGTGGGATGGGGTGTACCTGCTCTTAAATCATGAAGGTAGTAATACATTGTTTTCCCCTGCAACCTACACAGAGTGTGACCCGGTGCTTTTAATCCCCATTCAGCCATACAGCTCACCTGAGGCATTTACTGCCCCTTACTCTTACCTGCCTCACAGCATTGTTGTAAGGATAAAAATGGAAAGGCGAACTGTATTCTGCCATAAGCTGCTTGGAGGAAAGTCTGGATCTCCAAATGTACGGCTGGATTCAGATTACACAGAAATGGACTTCCCCACTGCCTCTTTTCTATGGCAGCCCTTGCAACACCCTGACATGCATGCAGCCCACAGATCCCACTGAGGAGGGGGATCTCCTGCAGAGAGCTCTTCCTTTCACAGAAGGCAGATCCTGGATCCAATGTATAATAAACAAAAATGGGGCAGAAAGTTGAGTGAGTGTTCAGGGATCTCCCAGAACAATCAATGGTAATTGAAAGCACAACTTTTGGATGGTTCATGCCTCTGGGCAGTGGTGCCTTACCTCTCAGGATGAAGAGAGCTCCTGACAGCAAAATCCTTGCCATGCTTATGCGGAACTGATTTTGAGTGATGGTGCTTGGGACTGCAGTTGCAAGAGCACATGAAACTGGATCATGCGTGGCCTGAGGCTATGTATGTTGGCTCAGCGAACTTCACTCAGTTCAGCCAGGCTTATTCTGAAGCACATGTGTATAGGGAAACCTTAACCCTACACATGTATTGCCTTAGGGTGGATTAGTGGCTCCTGAATGTGTGTTTGTCCCCTCTTAAGGCAGGATTTTAAACCTGGACTTCAGAAACCATGTTTGTTGTGAGGCTTTGAGAGTTAAAAGGAGAGTATAATCCACATAAGTTCTTACTGATGTAAAATGAGTGATAGTATTTTCTTCTTCCAAGTAAAATTAAAGAATATAATCTTATTCTGAGTGGATAAGAGTGGATAATTCTTATGAGTGGAGTCTGCTGGAACCGGGGGGGGGGGGTCAGACTAGATGGCCCAGGAGACCCCTTCTGATGCACTCTGTTTCTATGTTTCTGTGCTTCTAATTTTAGTGGGTACAAGAAAAGCTTGAGGACAAAATGATCAAGGAGCTTGGGTAGCTCCCTCAATGAAGAACGGCTACAAGGAAAGCTTGTATTTAGGTTAGCAAAATGCATGGAAAGTATTGATCATTTGCAAAGCATGTTTATGGCTGCAGCTGCTTTTTCCCAAAATTATCTGGTGCAGTGAATAATAGTAGCCCTGTTACCAAGAACTCAGGCTGAAATATGCACAATTGTGCACCACATTTGTGATTGCTCAGGGAGTTGCTGTGCTAGCACTCAGCCATTAAGCTCTCTAGCTGCCTTTGGGCCAGTTGCTGGAGCATCCCCTATCTCTCTCTCTCTCTCTCAGCCTACCCCCATCTTGCACAGATGTTGTAAGGAAGCAACAAGGGATACAAGATAAAGGGAAATGGTAGTGAGTAAAGGAAACCCTGAGCCTTTTGAGGAGATTAGATGTGGCATTTGAAGGTGACAAAAATACATTTAAATCACATCTAATCTTGCTCAACCAGTCTGGGCCTGCCTGCTTATCTATCTACCTACCTACCTATCATTTTTGTGATCAGTGACATGCCTGAGAAGACACAAATGGAATATAGAACAAAATGCTGCAGTGTATTTCAGCTAGCCAGCCATTCCCTCTGGTAAGACACTCCATTCCATTCTCATGCCTTTGGGTTGTTTGGGAGATGTACTTCCTTGAAGGTCCTTCATTCCATGAAGATGTTTTGTACTTCTGCAATCTTTGGGATTTTTTTCACAAGTCTGCTGATACTTGTGAGGGAGCGCTCTCTCTCTCTCTCTCTCTCTCTCTCTCTCTCTCTCTCTCTCTCTCACACACACACACACACACACACACACACACACACACATATAGAGAGAGAGGGAGAGAGGGAGGGGGAGAGAGAATGGTGCTCAGTTTTCTGTGAAAAAGAGGAAGGTCAAATAAAAAAGGGGGAATACAGAGACAAAGGAAAGGGGTAGTGATTAAGGAACCAGGGAGAATTGCACCAAACCAGAGAATGTTAAAAAGTGATTAAGCAGCAGATTCCAGCCAAGACCAGATGGTCAATTTGAATATCCAGGCCCCACTGAAAGTATTTCATTTTCATGGGTTTGTTTTGCTTTGTTCTTTCCAATTCATTCTTTCTCTGTGCAAAAGATGTCATTAAGCAAGCCTTTATTTATATCTTCTGAAAGGCAATCACTGAGACATTACAGGCACGGGGCGGGGGGTCAGGGGGGAGTGTGCACTGAAAATTAAGAACCACCACACATAAGACAACATTAACACAAATACACACACACAGATGCCACCAGCACTAACTCACACAAACAAAAAGGGTGCTTGGAAATGTACGGCTAAAACAGTCCGTAAGGGCAGAAGAATCTGTCATATGCAGCTGTATCGCATCACATTCATGATGTGATAATACTTTATAGGTGAGATTTAAAAAGGGGTCTTATGGTGGCTCCCCCCCCCCCCCCCAACCACGGCTGCTGCCCCCTGTGCCTCGCTTCTCTCTCCCTTGATATTGGAGACACCAAGCATCCATTTGCATGGAGATAACAGCAAGCCAATTGCAAGCTGGATTGTGTGATCAGGTCCCTTCATCCCTGCAGGCTGTTCACTTCACTCAAAAACTCCTCCTCCAGGCTGGGGAGGACAGAGGCAGCCAAGGTTCACAACCAAACCTTACAAATATTGAACCCTGATTCATAGTTTGCCCTGCTTTTTTTTTAAAAAAGACAAAAATAGGGAATCAACTCTGGAGTGTGCATTAGGTGATGGACCCATAGAGGCTGAAGGTGAAGCCAGCAAAATGAAAGTGAACGTGAGTATCAGATGTCGCTTTTAGCCCTGCTTTATTGCATTTATTTGTTATGGTATGTAAGTCGGCTTCAGCTCTATGGACAAAAATAAGAGATACAGAGGTGCAGTCTATATCAATTGGGAGGGAATGTTTCATTCTTTTTTTATTGTTTGCAGTTGTTTCAATATATTTTACATACTTAACATTTAATTTGCTTTTCTTGATGTGCAAGTTGATTGGCAGTCTTATACATTTAACAAGGAAAATACAATCAAACATTTATAAGATACTTTTGCTACAATCCTAGGCACCCCTCTTGGCAAGTATCATCAAACCTTCCTTCTGAGTACTCATGCAAACTACAGCGTTTTAGGCCACTGGCTTCTTTTATAGAAGTCTGAAAATCAAGGTAGACATACTGGACTATGAAGAAAGAAACAACCAATCCTTCATTGGGCTATACTTTTGTTAGAACCACCAGAACAGCACAAAAGACTGGGGCAACTCTGTTGTGATTTTGTGACTTTTGGTAGGTCTCCCAAGAAAGGTATTGCTCAGCTGATGGTTTTGAATAGTTCAGGTGCTTTTAATTGTTTTCATGTGCGCAGTGGTTTAAACTGCTGTGATGCTGGGCTGGTTGATCGAAAGGTTGCCGGTTTGAGGCTGCACAACGGGGTGAGCTCCGGTACTCTGTCCCAGCTCCTGCCAACCTTGCAGTTTGAAAGCCTGCAAATGCAAGTAGATAAAAGGGTATCACTTCGGTGGGCAGGTGACAGCGTTCCGTGCACTTCGGTGTTTAGTCATGCCGGCCACATGACCACGGAGACTGTCTGCGGACAAACGCTGGCTCCCTCGGCTAGGAAACGGAGATGAGCACCGCCCCCTAGAGTCAGGCATGGCTGGACTTAATGTCAAGGGGAAACCTTTACCTTTTCATGTATTCATTGATGGTGGGCATGTCGTGAGC